AAGATTTCCATTTGGCGCCATCATCACTGATTCACTGTATCCATTGAATCTAGTAAGAGTGTATATGTGTTATCTGAAATAGTGTTGGACCATTTCCCTAGGGAATCATGTCCACCGCCATTGTATTTCTAATCTGGATAAATTGAGATTCGATTGAATATCGTTGATTGGAACTGCCAATATTGTCCTGTTTGTCTGGTTAGAGACTTGATTAACCCAGTTTAGTGTGTATATGTGCATGGCGACAAACCAACATACATTAAAACAGCCTATTCAATCAGACTCAAACAAAACGAAGAATGAACATAAGAAACACGATAGGCTAAAGTAATAGCAATGAGATGGGCTAGCGAAATTTTCGCCGATAAAACCAGATTCTTGGATTTTCTACATAACACACACACACACACACACAAAAATACACATACACGCCAGCCAAGACAAGAAGAAACAAAACATCTGCGTCCACACTCACACACACACACACGAAACCAGATGATGAGAATTCAGAGAGTGTTAGGCGACGACCAGGAATAAAGAGAATAAAACGTCTCATCTGGCGTTATTCTCTCACCAATTGGGCTTATTGTGTATATGTCTGTATGGATTCACATTGCTATTCGCAATACATCTGGAACAAACCGAACAAACGAATCAATGACGGAACCAATGATGATGATGATGATGATGATGATGACGACGACCAACCAACAAACGACAAGCAAACATTACTAATTCACACACAAACACAACCCTAATTAGGAAATATATTTCCCCTTTTACTATCCCCCAAAATACACCTCACAAGCAGCATGTCCATAATTGAAATCGAAATTTTATCAAAGCCAGATCGATTGATTCAATTTAGATGGCCAAGCTGGTAAGAGCTTTTATATGGGCGCCATCGAACATGCATCTGTTGGTTGCCTGTGTTCCAATAGATCTGTAAATGGAATTGACGGTGGTGATGGTGGTCCACAGCTGTCCAAAGTTGTTCAAAAGAGACATCACATATATACGCATACCAACCAACCAACCAACTAAGGCGATTAGCATCACAGCTTGTTTCATTCTTCACGCTTTGGTCGTCACAGAACCTATCGGGCAATCGAATCAAGCATCCATTAACAGCCAATGGAATTTAGCCAATTAAAATCACCGGTGTTGCTGTTGATGGTGGTTATGATGATGGCCACATGGTGATGACGCCTCGTCAACCAACTGGTGTGATGACGCCAGATGTATTTGAAAACTTTTGCTCGATCAAGATCTAATGTTGGATTCTTTCGCTTGGTCGACAACGACCGATGGATGGATGGAACGGATGGAAGGACAAGCCAAGATTTACGATCAACCAGCCAGTCTGGCCACTTGATATCACGCGTTCAGTTTGTTGGATCGATTCTTTTTGACTGAAAACAACTAAAGCAGCAGCAGCAGTTGAGGTAAATAGACCAGAAATTCTGCATTTCGATACAGCATATTTCATCGTATAAACATAGAACAGATGGCGCGCCCTGGAACTTATCATTCAGAGTTATCATTCAGAATTCTGGCTTATTTCCACATGGCTTGGGCCGAAATTGACCTGAAGCCATCTGGACCCCATTCAACATCATCATAATCATCATCATCATCATCAATATCAGCAGTAGTAGCTTATGGATCGAATTGAATCGAAACTTGTCTGGCGATCAAATTTGAATGATCACAGATCGCACAGGCAGTCAACAAGGCTGCATCATTTCCTGCCATCCTGGTGCCACCATACGAAGCAGCTGCATTAGAATACACCAGATCCGATTAGATTCGATCAGACCAGAGACAGAATCCATGGCGTATACAACTTCTGGTATTAGACAATAATACATCGAGAACAAAAGAAACATTTGGATCGAATCCTATGAGAATTATACGGGGACTGTGAGACAAGTGTTATGTTTCTCTGGGAGTCTTGGATACATCTGTTGGTGGCCAGCTTTTTCTCGGGGATAGCAACGAAGTGTAGTAGAAATTGGACAGCTAAAATGTTTTCCATGTTTATCTAAAGAACCTACAAATAAACACCACCATTTTCTTCCGGTCACAATAATCATTTCCAACCATACACATGCGCTGTTTAAAAAACGACTCGAAGGTTAATTACAGCACTCAGGTTCTTATCAATGATGTCCAATCAACAAAGATAAACGAAAGAAAAGAACCAGAAACCCAGTAGAATCCTGATAAGCAGCCCGATTGTCGATCCAAAAGGTTCTGGTGGCACATAATTAACATAATGACTATGAACGCCAGAGATCAAAGCCTGTCAAGTGAAAGTATCGATTTCTCATTTCATTGGATCGATAGAATCTTGTCAGTTAGTTACAATCTGGCTATTATTCAATCGATTTGAAGCTAAGCGAAAATCAATTTTCTCATTTACACTACCAACAATATTGGAATAAAGGTTATATGAAGGCTAAAAACTTGGTGGACATCCAACTGACCTAGAACACGTGCATTGTCGTTTCATGTCATCAACGCGCGTATAGAACAAGGCCAAGGTCTTATCTGATTTTATAAGATCATTGATTATTTTTGATTTTTTATGTTTATTTTATTTTTCAACTATGTGTAGGAAAATAAACTAATAAATAATAAATAAATAACCAGTAGCATCTTAGTTGGTGAATCGACCATGAAGTTTTAAACTATGATTTGGAGCTTAATCAATGCTGAGAAAAACCAATAAAAGCAAGATGATCAATAAGATGTCATAATGCTCATTTTTAATTGTATTTTGATTTGTTTAATATGAAATTGTTTTTTTTTCTGAGAATTTTTTTCACAATTTATAGTTTGTTTTTGAAAATGTTAAAGATATGATGGTTGACGAAAAAATTATCAAATTCACTGTATTGGATAACAATCAAAATTGAAAAAACATTTGAAAATAAGAAGATATATCGAATTTAATGTTTGTGTTGCTGACTATCTCAAGGTGGTAAGGAATAATAAATAAAACACTTTATGATTAAAAATGAGTTAATAAGAAATAAATGTGTTTGTTTTAACATTGGTCCTAAGTGCTTGTATATTTTGTGATGTATCCGACATCTTATCATATATATATGAGTTGTATGAATCAACTTTGTTTTCTTTGCATTAACATAATTTGAATTGATATTTGGACATATGTTTACACTATATAACTTTTTATTTTGAATATGATTCATTTGTATTGTAATGATTATCTTATTCGGATATTGTCAGATTTTCTACAATATGAATGAATTTGTTGGTAAATTGAAAAATAGTGTAAGGATGTATCATCGATTTTGGTTGATTTTTGGTCGTGAGCATCAGATTTTTTTTACACACATAAAACTGGCTTATCTATCCATGTTTGTGGTCACACTGACAAATATAAAACATGGACATAAATTGTGCAGATGAGCCTAATAACAGCTGTTTGTTTTGGTTAATTAAATCAAAATTTCAACTGCCACACACACAAACATATTGAAACATAAAGAGACACATGGCCGTGATAATGATAATTGGCTAGCCACTAGCTTTAGAATTTGTCTCATTTTCACGTATCATCTGTTCCAAACGACAAACCAAATGGCTCATCTTGCATTTGAATCGATTGGCCAAATGGTTGAATGGCAGTCATTGTATTTCGATTAGCGTATAGGGCCCCATTTCGGTCGATATAGAGATTGGGACAGATTGTCTTGAGAAGAGCGAAACGTCTTCAAGGAAATGGCCAGCTGCTTATTTGATGATCAAAGAAATGACCATTGACTGGTGAAACTTGACCAGGTGATTCTTGGCACGTGTCGATCCAGGTTTAGCACCTCATTAAACTGGCCCAGCCTTGAAGACAAATTGCCAATGGCGATAGGCCATAATGATCACTTCCGAGTAAGCTATTATACCTTGGTGAAAAGTGTATCGTGTAACTGATAGACAATCGTTTGAATTTCGGTAATCGCATTAAGCAACGGTACGCTTTCAAGCCCATTCTAATAAGTCAATCTGGCCTTCACCTTCATATGAATAAGGGATTAGTTTTCGGCAAACAAAGGCTAGGCGCACGACGACAATAGTCCAAAGGGTTGACATATTGGCCATAAGTTAGTCTTGCTAACCCAGTGACAAAGAAAAAAAAGAGAAAGAGAGAGAGAGAGAGAGAGAGAGAGAGTGGACCAGATGGATGCAGCTGTCAATCTGTTGACTTGCATAACCTAAAGGCCAGGTATGAGCCATGTGTTCGTGTGGTCGACATTATCACTTCCGAATGTTCGTTGCTACGACATATGTTCCACCTCGATTAATAAAATACATGCTATAAACCAAGCTGTTCCAATCAATCGAAACAATTCCTGCCTTGGAATGTTCGAATGACTCAAGTTAACCAGCCAAATGTTTCTTCGATTATCGTTTTTGCCTGAGATGCCCACACAACATATGGCTTGACACTATTGGTCCGGAAACAGCTTGCCAGCTCAAGTCAAACGAGAAAGTGCTAGATTAATAGCTAGATCAATCATTCTTAAAAGGCTAATGATGGCTGCTCAAATCGACCGGAAACACAGAGGGTTGACCTTGAATGATGCAGTTACTAATAGATGATTGTCGCCCTGATAAGATCGTTGTTTGTTTGGTTGATTGGATGGTTCCGGCTTTCTCACGGCTTGTCATTGTTGGTCATGACCAGTTCCGTGAGAAACCCGGATTCTTTTTACAAAAAACAAGAGTCGCGTGGGAATATCCTCTTCTGTAGTGTAATGACCGACGGGCGCCATGTGTTTGTGTGTGAACGACGAGTGACATATGGTATCCATGATACTGAACAATGACATGACATGGTCATTGAATCGTATCGTGAATGGAAATCAGGCGCCATATGTCATGGCTATGATAATCAAGTGTGTGATACACATATCTGCATTTCGCGCGCACGTACAACCCAAAACGGATAAAACATTGAAATAATACAAGAATCGATATGAATGAACGAACAGTGGGCCAAATTGGCCTTTAATGACATGATTAGTATTAAAACATAGACAAATACTGAGTGAGTGATCCATCAATCATCAAGTATGATATAATCGTAATAAATAGAGCTATATATTCATGTATTTATGTGGCCACCTAATCTATACTTTTTCGTCATCGATTACAGCATAAGTAATAGATATGATCATTATATCTTAAGTGTGTGTGGTTGCACTTGACAACTTGGTCATGACTGAATGTGATACAACAACTAGTAAAACAGGGATATGGACAAAAAGGAAGGAGGTATATGTGTCCAATAACGACAACGAATATTATACATTATAGAAAGATTTATAGAACGATCGATGCTAAAGGTTGCCTATTGGAACCTGGTATCCTTTGCGGTAATTGTGATTGTTGATATGATTGATGATGTGATGGTTGTAGAGATATATTGGCCATTTCATGGCTATTCGAATTCAGCGATACGGTTGTTGTCATGCTGAGGTAACGATCACAGGATACATTCGTGGTTGCCAATTGAGGTGTCGATTGATCGGAAATAGAGTTGGTTGAATGGCTTTGGATATTTGAATTGGTTGTAACGGCAACAAAATCTGCGGTAGCAAATGCCGTTGCGGCCAATGATGAAGCAATCGGATGTTGTTCCAGTGCAGTTTGTAGATCAAAAATGTAATCAATGACATGCTGAATGATTTCCAATTTAGAGCAACGTCGATGTTTAGGGATTCCAGGTACTAATTGCTTTAATTTGGCCAATAGTGATTGCATCTCCTGACGATCAAGTTGTCGTTGACGTAGTTGATTTGCGGTGAGCATTTTAATCCGACTACCGTTGATGGGTGAATGTCGATTATGTATGACCATTTTTTCGTTTGGTGATTTCAGCGACTTTGTTTCAAATTGTAATGAATTAGATGATAATGATTGTTTATTCATTGGATTTTTTTTATCCGATAAAAATTATGTGATTTAGCCGAAGCACACAATTTAACTTTAATAAGAGAACGAGTTGACCGATTGCAACTAGTCTGTTTAATGGCTCCTTAGTGGTGGTCAGTTTAGTCAAAAGCAGTCGATGATATAACTCGGAATGTTAGTGTATCTCAACATGAACATCCAATGTAATAATGAATGGCCATTCAATGTATTCATCCCGTTTTTATACTCGAGCCTCCATCATCAATCCATCTGTCTGTTTTTCCAAACGAATGTAGAAGAAGTTGAAGAAGAAGCATATATAACGAACACAGCAAACAGATTGCTTGCTTTGTATCAATGTATACATAACATCCACAGCATATAGCAGCAGTTAGCCAGGTTTTAACTAATGTGGCCTGCAATCTGGAACCCGCTATCGAACGAAAAATCTCATGGGAACTGGGGGAGGATTTGATAACAATGAAAAGCATCTGTCGCCAGTGACATCTAGTCGTACGAATATGGAAACGGTCATCGCTGCTGGACAAACAGGTGTGCGTCAAACAGTAACCAACATTATATCATTCGATCCTGGGATCTGATCTGGTCCATGTATCCCACGCACACAATTACACAGCTGCTACTGGTGGTGGTGGTGGTGTCGGTGGTATCGACCGACAACTCAACGGTTTCCCGGTTACATTGATTGGTGGGAAAACATATGGTATGGCTAGGACAGAACGGGACCAAACGGCCAAACCAGATGCTACCAGATGCTTTTATGTTGTTAGCGTGTGACATCTCAACTAAACGGTCATATGTTGGACCCTACGGTCTGGTCTGTATATGTTTGTGTGTTTGGGCGCTATATTCAAGAGACCAGAATGGCAGCTGGTCTGTGTGATACGTGTGTGAATCTAACCGAATCCCAAGCTTCAACGACAATCTGACATCTGGTTTGATTATCACTCATCATACGTTTGTCGTATAGGTCATAGGTCAATCACTCAATTAGCTATTCGGGCACCATTCAAATCCTTCGCTGTGCTACACACCATACAGTGTTGACCACCACATGGCCACAAGTCAACAGTTAAAGACTCACAGTAGCTTATTATGGCAAGATATCCTAAATACATAGGACTTGGTCAAGTAATCCAAAAGACCTCACAGATCGTTTAATAAACATCATCATGACTATGAGATTCGTGACTCTGTGGTAGGTTGATCAATTTCTTGAAAGGATCGATTTCTTTTGAACAACGATAGGTAGCATCGATTCCAAACAGACAACACGGCCTTTCGGCCAGGTGAATTCGGAACAAAGCACGATAATTGAGATTGTCCACTGAGGAGTAAAAGAAAAAACAATAGTCATTGAAATACCATTCTCTACCATCGTATATGTTTCCAACATTCGTCCTCCTTTCTTGGTGGTCCACATCTGCCATAACTCAATCACAAAGCTCAATTCGATTGATACAAATGTAGTGAACATTGTTTTCAACCGGTAATGTTTCGCGTGTTTGTGACTTATTGGATCTGGGATCTTTTTTAGTAGCTCGTGCATCTGCTTACACGTTCACTAAGTGTGTGACCTTTGAATGAACAGCGGCCAATAACCGAAAAAATGAATGATAGAAAAATATGCGAGGAATGTCGTTATTTTGTTAGTTACAACGGTTTTCAATGATCTGGTCTAGCTATGATCTGCGTTGTTTTCGTCGATGAATCAATCAGAGTAGAGAGTGTGGTGTGAAAGAGAAAGAAAATCCAGCCGGACAACTAAAAAACAGATGTTTTTCCATGACATTTGGGAGTCACACTCACGAACAACGCGGCCAACGGACTGAAAATATATGGATCCATTGATCGATTTGATGGTGCCATATGGCCATCGGTCGATCAATGGCTTTGTTCGCCATACCATGACCAGAACAGGCAAACTGTGTATATATGTTTGTTTGTTTCTCAGGTGAAATTATTCACACAAACACAGGTGCTTCTCAGCAAGCAATGAGCATATGGCACACTGCAATCGGCAGCCAGGTGAATAACGAAGCTATCAAATCTATTTTTTGGCATACATACTTTTTTGCCTTCCGTTCCGTTCCATTCCGACAATTTGGATAGACGTGACCGTCTACATTAAGAAATTAATCTAGCTTGGTTAGTAACATCGAGCATCTGTTATCACCAAAGGGCATATATCTGAGTATTTTAAATTTAACGTGTAGCCTGCAACCGGAAAACATTTAGACATCTAAATTCATGAAGATCAGTGGATGAAAATTGTAACCCCTTAGTTAAGGTGTGTCAAAAAGAGTTAGCCAATGACCAACTATGATTTTTGCATGCAACAGTTACATGACATACCTTACTGTTCCAGGATTTCATCCATTCAATCACTCAATAGCCTCAGTTGTTTTGTGGTAAAATAGTACTGTGGGAAACAATTCAACAAGCAGCTGTCTTCTCACTTACCGCACAAACTTACAATATAAATGGCATCTGGACCGCGAACGTTTGATTTGGTCTGACAAAAAAGTGTGAGAAAACACGTGTTATCCAAGACAGAATGACTGAATGTGTGTGATTGAGATAACAGGACGGCCACCGACACCAGATTGATGCCAAAGCGGGGGCGTTCATCATTGTCACAGTTGGTTGATTTGTTGGATGAACATTGTTTAAGAGCCGGAAACGATACAATTAATTCTCAAAGCTACCGATTAGATCATTGGTTGGATGATCATCACATCATAACAACGGTGTGTCGACCTATTCATGGCATCCGAATGAAATCGGCCACTGTCCTTGAGAGAAATAAAAAGCTACTTGTTCGCTTATATCAGGTCAAAGAGCATGAATGAATGAGTGAGAGTGATGGCTATTGCCAATCTATTGACTACACATAAACACATATACATTTTCCAGGTGATAATGTTGGCCCATACTGTTCCTTTCTCCATTCACCTTTGACCTGAAAAAAATCTGCGCCAATCAGATAAGGTCAACGGTCATAGCCATAAGACTTAGAAATTCATCCTGGATGCCTTAGATGGTATGATGTTTGATCTGGCTGGCTCAGTGACTCAATTTCTCGGAAGCCATGCCCATGGGCCAATGCCATTGCTTTCGATATGTAATGTTTTGGTAATAATCACACTCAAATGAAATTTATGTGTGTGTGACTGTGTGTGTGTGTGTGTGTAGTCTGCTTACATCGTCAGGTAGAACAAACAAACGAATATCTTGGGTCAGTCCGTGGGTTGTGCGTGTGTCAGCAAGGTTAACCTTAAGAGTTTTCATTGTGTGGGCATTTGGGTGGACGGATGTATTGCGTAGGATGATCACAACAACCCACGGATGAATCGGTCCCTATTTGGAACCACCATCTTAGCCATCATCAACGTGGGCCAGACCAGATCTCACCATTCGTTTGGTGCGTTGGCGGCTCTTAATTCTGCAATAATCATTTTTTAACTTTGGTCTAGGTTCAATCTCTGAAAATGAATTTATAATGTTATCAAACAAGAAAAGCGTTATTAGAAGAATTTGAAAGATTATATTTATGTTAAAAAACACGTTCAATTTCAAGTGATGAGTATTATATATTTCATCTATAGTCGATATGAATCAAATTATGTTTTGTCAGGAAAAGAAATTTCTCACACACACACACACACAGGTGTTTAGCTTAAAGGCAAACACATCTTTAATTGAGAACTTTTATATAAATCATAACTTGGGCGCCAGGTATAATTAATTAATAGGCAAACCAGGCTTTGATCGGCCTAGTTCGAAATAAACAACAAGTAAACCAATTATGATAGTTATTGAGTCATTGTAATGATTGGTGTTTGTGTATCGCGTTTGGAATGTTGTCATTACAATCAATAGAATCGCGTTAATGTGTGTGTTTCGTGACTATAGTTGTTGAGTAAAAGCCAAGCCCAAAGCAAAGGTCGACTATGGTCTACCCTCACCATAAGTGATCATCATTTGGGGTTTGACCTTTCAAACAATAATAACAAGACCTTGTAGGGACTAGAAATCACAATGGTGAGAGACCAGGAGCCGGATCTTTCAGAACAGAAACACAAATAAAAGTTAGAAGTGTATTGGTCAATATTGACCGATGGACTGATACTGGTCCAACAACAAGTGTTCATCATCAATGACCAGATTAACCATTTGAACGATTGCCCTTTCAATCGACAATCGAAGCCGACCGAACCATTCAACTATTAGTTTTATGACCACGATAACATTCTTTCACACACACACACACACACACAAAGACGAACAGATTTTGTATGCAGGTGTGAGATAGACAGACTGGCGCCTATGACCGTCGTAGTACATTTTGTGTTTATGAAAACAAATACCATCAAACAGTATATTTCTATAGTTAATCGCCACCGTTTCCGTTAAGACATCGGCCATGTTTAGTGATGATGAGAAAATCTAACCATTCTCATTCAAATATAGTTTAAAACTAAATTGACACTAATCCATTCGATGGTGGGCGCCACCGACACAAACATGCAAGAATGTTTTGGCCATCTGTTCGATTGTGATGCCGGTTGTTGGTCATTACAACCGGAATTCAGATGCTGATTACTAGATGTTTAGTCGTTATGTTGGTCACTAGATGAACCAGGATTCCAGATGGATCTAGGATCATTGAGAATAGTCCATGTGGATCGTGCTTTTGTTCATATGGCCGACAAATTAATTGAGTCAGACACACTCTATCTGCCCACAGGTTGTTAGCCATTGAGTGTGTGTGTGTAGATGTATGGAAGCTTGGAGGCATACTTGGCCTACCTACGATAACAAAGCCAACCACACATCCTCATCAAAGCGAATATCAGTAGAATTGGGTTTGCTTATGCTCCTACACGCTGGTTATGTGATTGCCAACAACACCCACACTGGTCCAGGAAATATAGACTGAATGAATAAATAGGGTAGGTGTATTTGGCAAACTAACTTGAAAAAAGATGAGATATACGATCATCATAGGCGTTGGCGTTTTCCAACTTTTCATTCAATCGACAGAGATATGGTCATCGGCCAGTAAAATAACAAGTGCGAATCGACTACAAACTTTGATCGCTAGGGCCAAATATGGCCTTCGAATATTTTTTTTTTTTTTTTCATCACATAGCTGGGTTCTATAGCAATTGATGAACAAAACCAACGAAAAAAAAAATACTTAGTGTAGGTGACACTTCCGCCCTATATAGTGCTACAAATGGCCATTCACATGATTTGATCAAAGTAAAAACAGATGGAATGAATGATTCAATCTTGCCTTATATGAGAGCTAGTCATGAGGAACAGATCAATCAATCCGAATGGATCGAACATTGTTGTTGCAAATGATTCGATTATATGGACAGGTGATGAGACATGATGATGTGATGGGGCCAGTTATCTCACAGGTGTCAATGGCCATACACTCTCATCTTAGCATCGATAGAATAGTAAGGTAGTCAAGTAGTTTGCCGCCAACACAGTGCTGGTGATGATGATAACCAAATTTGGTTCGTTTTATTAAACAAAACATATATATCCAAAGCTTTAACCCATCCATTGCTGATATAGTGGCGATCAAATGCGTGGTTATCTTGTCATCACACACATCGATCGAACATATGTCGACCATGTAATCGATTGTGCATGTCGATGTAATCCATGTTTAGCCGTATAATTTTAACGACATAATTTAACGCCGACACATGGATTTATTGTCACAAATCATTAGTGCAAGCCGATTTGTATCAATATAATCGCCATAAAACGGGTTAATATATTATTATTATAAGCCATCATCGAAATATCTGAATGATTTAAACGTAGATCGCGATTGATGAGAAAAGACGGTGGATGGCCAATCGGCCATTCATGCAATTCGCCGTTTTCGTCAATGAACAACGGCCAAAGATGATTTTCGTTTTTTATGTGTTGAATGGGCATACCATTATAGTAGACCATTCAAATCAAACAAACAAGTGTCCATTGCAAAGCAATAGATCTACCCTGACAAACACAGCATGCGGCATTTTGAAGCATAAACGACACACCACACACAGGTGCAATACAGACATCGTGTCGCCAATTAGTAGCCATTGATCTGAATATATCATCAATAGCCCGAGGAGGATTTTATTGTGTGTTTATCGATGACTAATGCACTAATGTTGTTGACATTGTCTGATGTTGCCATCTGGCCAAAGGATTGTCTCCGTTTGGTTTTTTTTTAGAATTTACACGTGTTTGTTTAAACTGAATACAAATAGATTCAAATGCCGCAATGGGTCATTCATTGGCTGTGAATGACACAATTAGTTTTTTGATTTGGCTCAACACGTGTTTTTGTTTAGATTAGGCATCTGTGCATTGATATTCGAGAACACTATAGTATCAAAAAATAAACCAAACACTGCACATATGGGCCACATGCTGCACTTGACAAATAGGAACATTCACTTGTTTATAAGATCTAACAACAGATGTTGGCCATTAGCCATCATCAGCTTCACCAGAGAGACTATTCAATGATTGCATTGGGTGCAGAATCGTAGCGTAGGCGGCTGTCCATTCCATTTGGAAAAGAATCAAAAGTTTCTGATGGAAATGGCCGCCAGAACCACTAACCGTCAGCAGCTGTCTTAATATGTGCACATTACTTATGTTTGCCGATTATCCTATTGGGCGCCATTGATCAAACATACATACATACTTTTATCATCAATGACACCTGCATAACACACAAACATAGATCTAGACATTTTCAGGCAAATAGTTATCAATGTTTTTGGCATCTGCATGGTTGACATGGCCTATTAGGATTCATTAGGATTCATCGTTCAATTCCAAACGCCTAGCACCTGGATTCTCCATTTGGCTGCACACCTGGTCCGTAGGACATCCGGTTATTATGGCCTATAATCAATGAGTTGTGATTTAATTGACACCTGTCGATTAGTCGAACTATTGGTATAAACTGATTGGGTCATTGGCCAATACATCTTGATGATCGGCCGTCTTTAAGCTGCTAATTTAAAGCGCACCTGACATTTTTGGTCTTATCGAACCTGGTCAGAGAATCTGAGTCAGCCTACCCAAGCGAGCAATGTGTACAACTTTCTTTAATTACTATTTGAATGGCACGCACACAAATTGGTGAACAGGTGTCTACATCACAGGTGCACCCTATAACACACAAACACACACACACACACACACACACACATTTTTGGGGAGTTTGTCATCTAGGTTGGATGTGATTCTTTAAGCTGCAACCGTCACTATGAGACAATATAATGGCCAATACGCTAATGGAACGATGCTAAGCGCACCTGCCATTACACATTTGTTCATATTTATTCAATTTGTTCACATTGGTTTGATCATCGAATCCTGAGAAACATCATCAGCTTCAGTCATCTGGCAAATCATCCATTCAACATTTTATTTGGCAACAATTCACATGGCAGACCCGAGATTCTATCATTTAATCGTCAAACATATGTTACACAGATACATGTGATATGGACTTTACCAGAAATTCTTCATCCGTAGCAAATGCATACACACACACACACACACATGACATGCATCATTTGAAAAGTTGCACATCTGGTCATTCATATCGTAACTATAAGAAAGACAAATGTCGAGTTAAGTTGTAATAATTCGTGAGTATCAATAACTATCGTTTTCTATAGAATATATTACAATATATGCTGTTTATTTTTTTTGAATCAAATGACGCCTGCCTTTAAATGTTTAGCATTATCATAATCATCATCATCATTTGTCACTAACGATCATCGGTGTTTAAATTAAAAATGGATCAAAAGGAATATGGAAGCTGATATCAATCAATTCAACAATGGATATTTCATATGGACAAAAAATCATTGAAATTAAATTTGAACGTTTTATTCATTGACGAAAAATCGTATTGATTATGATACAATTACAAGAGAAGATAAATCGGTTATTTACAATGAGACAATAATGTAAAAAAAAACAACAAACAGGACAGAGATAAATGTTTCCAATGATTGCCAAGGAAGGATGGAGGGAAAATTGCAACAGACTAAAGAAATGGCCGTTTCAGGTTGTTCGCTAATGGCCAATTGCGATGGTCATCGATGACTAGGAAAGCCAATCGTACGTACAACTCAAGATACGGACGCTAATTATATGATGGCAGAATATGGATGAAGAAAATTGAAAGAGGTAGCCATTTTAATTGACCAATTGCCGCAGTTGATGTAAAGTTCCCTTTGCTTTGTTTGCATCTTCCTGACCATCAGGTCCATTCGATTGCTGATCGAGAACAGTTTCGAGATCGTTGATATAGTCGATAACGTGCTGCATTATTTCTAATTTAGACATTTTTTGTTCAGGTGAAATTCCCGGAACCAGTGTCCGTAGTTTGTTTAACATACGAGATATTTCGTTGGTTTGATTGACCGAGGCTGGAGCCATTGTTGTTCGCGAGGTTTCCATAATCATCTTTAGAGGTAAACACAACGACAAGATCAAAACAGCGAGCAAGAAAATAAGTAAATGAGTAAATGTTTTAGATCGATCAATTTATATATGTTGGTCTCCGTCATTTACTGGTCCAGTGTTCGTTAACAATGCCACTTCTATCAAATGAGTTGGCTTTCATGCTAGTAGCATTGATGGTAACTGGCGCCAATCTCTCACAGTGAACAGTTCTTGTTCATTTCTCATGGGAAAGTTTTATCTGGACACGTGTGCACGTGTTTGTCCAAACAACAATCTGGCCTTTCTCGTATCGATATATACTCATATATATACAAACACACAGCTGTGTCAATCTTATTGCCTATTTGGTGTCATTGGGGGCAATTAAAGCAATTACAAACTTACACTCTGACTAACTGGGACTTTGAAACTTGGCAACGAAAAACACATTGGTTTCTTCCGTTGTAATGCTATGCATGCATTCAATTACACAATACAACCCCGATTTGAATAAAGTGAAGCAGTAGGAAGTACCAAGTAGCTTAATGAAACAAAATCAAACATTAAACATAACGAGAATGATTAATTATTAAAAATAATAATAAATATAAAAATATAAATAGTTACAAATACAAAATTTTAAAAATTATATATCACTCAAATCAAATACATAAAGGCGACGATGAATAGATGAGATAGATGATATTTACAGCCAAAAATGCCTACAACAATTAACAAGATTTTCAGCATTAATGATTAGAATGGGTCATTAATTCATATCCATCGCGACATCCAAGATGAACCAGATCATTGTTTGTATAACGTACAAAGACACTAGAGTGAAAAATAATTGAAATTAATAAAAGTATATAGTATAAAATCGATTCCAATAGTTTACCTTTTACCGATACGTTTCATACAAGCCTGGCATATTTCCGTACCGGTTATGATGACACGGCTAGCTTGTTCCACTTGAATTCGTCGTTGATGTACTTTGAGTCTTTGTGATTTGAGCAATCGTCTCAGCATACGACTATGATTATGGTTACTAGAAAGATGATGTATAGCTGGTGGTAGAATTAAATAAAGTGCTTGTAACGGTAATCGATCATCAAGCGATTCGATAGCATCAATCAGATTAATTCGTGTGGAATGTTGGGCTAATATGGCTATTGCAATCCGTACGTTAAGATCGAGATTATCTAGAATGGATTGATTACGTGGATCTTTTAGGAAAGCATGGATTGAACTTGGAAGCAATAAAGGCATGTTGAATGTGTTTATAGCGGTATTATCATTCAAGTATTTAGACAACTCATTTCGCATCGGTTTACGAAGACATTGTTCGAACAGATAGTAAAAAACTCGACGGTCTGCTCCTTTGCAATGGGCTGCACGATGGAACTGTTTCCAGCAATATTGTTCAGCCATTTCCAGATCGTTAAGTATATGCACATAGATCATTACTGCTTCCCGGTGATTACCCATCTTTCCAAGTACAATGGCACGTTCCTCAAAAAGACCATCATGCAATAGATAAGCAGACAGCGTTTCCATTGTGTAATAATCGCATATTTCAAGTACGTGCATTAATTTACGCCTTAGTTGGCCCAGTTTACCAGGTTCTTGACCGGCAGGTTCAGGCCTCAAATAATGATATTCTGCGTCTTTTTCGTCATCATAAGTAGTATTGAGAATCTCCATAAGGTTATCATTGTGGCCTTGTTGTTGAAGTTCGGCCCGATATAGAGCAATCAATGGCCGTATAGAATCCCGATACTTGTTGATGAGCGTGTCGATCATTTTGGTGGAGGTTTCGTTCCATTTGAGATTTTCTATGTAGTGATCTAGAAAGGTGAGTGCTAGATCTGGATTGATCGATTCCAGGTATTGAACAATGTCATCTTTCGGCCAGGCCGCCGATTGTGAGTAGACATAGACATCATCAATAAATATATGCATACCTTCTTCTGGATATTGTCGAAGTATCCATTCAGAGTATTCAAATATTAGATCCATATGATCGCTACCCAGTTCTTGTAGATACTGTATAAGTTGCTTACGAGCTTGGGCTGGATTCTTTGCAGCACCATCGCGCGCTTGATGCTGTAGCATGTTTAAAGCGTTCTTGTGTAGGCCTTTCGTTTTGTACAAAATGATCAATTCGGCGGTTTTGCCTCGTTTTTTGAGAGCCATTTCACTTTCTTCGAGATGACAATGATTATCGATTCGTAGCAATGATGCAGCCAACGATTCATTGGTTTGCAGATAACATTTCAATAGACTTGTATCGATTATACTAAGAAGTTCATAAAGTTTTCGAAGATCGTTGGTTGCCGATGATGATTGCTTCTGTTCCTGTTGTTGACTAATTTGTTTTTGCGTTCGTTGCCGTATTTCGACTAGATATTCAATCAATGTCAATAGACCTCGTTCCAAAATAGCACCTTCAAGTGGTGGAGTATGAACGATTGGTTCGTTCGTTAGTAATTGACTTCGATATCGATCAGGTAATATACCAGGATATAAAGCAATGACAAATGAAGGATCAGTCTTCAATGTCTGAAATAGAGATATAGCTTCGCTAAATTTGAACCTTGAGAACAAATCAATAGCATGTAATTTTCGAATTTTCAGCTTTAATTGATCATATTCATCGCCAGCCATCAGACCAGAGTTGTCGAATTCGTTCAAGCTATTGTTGTTAGCCATATTGTAATATTCAATCATCTATTTAAAAAAAAAACAAAATCATTCAATGAAAAAACGTGCTAGAATTTACCTTGATGGCCAATTCGAAATGTCTGGCATTCTGTAGAATTCGAATCTGTTGTTCGTTGGGTACAATTTTCATCATGACAATATCATTGTCAGAATGGAGAACTAATTGACCGGGTCTATTGCACCATTTGCTAATAGCTTTTAGCGGTCTTGTTAGCTGCGAAGAGAGGTCATTCTTCTGCAAAAATGGATCTTTTATCACATCACGTAATGTATTAGTCAAAACTTCGACCAATGAGTTGGTTTCGATAGCGACCAGGAAGAGCAGATCATCAGTCATGGATAATGGCTGATCGGTCCATGTTATGGCACAATCAAGTAATGGTCGAGCTTCATAATCGAATATGTAAGTCTTGTCTTCTCGGCAAATGGCCAGATTGCGTTCGGCAATTAACGGTACAATCAATGGTTCGGATGTAACTGGAAACATTTTGGTCACCGTACCGGTGTCAATGTCCACTTGAATATACTGGTTACGAAGACCGACAAATAATCGATTGGAAACCCAGATTACAACCCGAGCCATATCAGGCAATTTAATGGCAGGTCTAAGCTCATAGAATTCATTGTTCTTCCAATAGAAAAAAAGTAAACTATGTTTGACGGCCACGCAAAGTCGTATGGTCGATTGAATCTGGCCAGACAGTGTCTGTTGTTTGCTGATATCCAATGAAAAGTAGCTTGCTCCTTTGCTTTTGGCCAATGAAGACAGAAATGGAAAGGAAATCTTATCCAAATTATGTATGCTTATGAGTTGATCGGACAAAGATACGAGAACGCGGTATTCTAGTATAGCTTCAATCTGGACAATTGGTTTTCGGCTAAATTGTTTTGCCGAACGCAATAAATGCAATTTGAATTCATATTCTATCAACATTTAGAACATTAGATTGAACAATAACAGAATAAATATGAATTACCTGTGGGACTTTGAAGTTTCAGATCAATTTTGTACATGAGAAGGTGTCCTTCCTTAGTGCCTATCAACAGATAGTCATCTAATGAATGGAAAATAAAAAGTAATAAAAGGTCATAAATCTAAGACATCCACAATGACAATACAGACCATATGAATAGGTACATTCAATCGTGAGCGGAAGTTTTCGAAGTAAAACCAGATTCTTGTACAGCTCCATATAGATAGATTTGTAAATTGTTATTATTCACAATGAAACATAGGCGTTTTTAAAAGCACACACAAAAAAAAAACAACTAATAGCTGATACAACTTGTGTGTGATTGCATTCCATGTGATTTTGTTTACGAAAGATTATACATGTTTAAAGGCATATTTAAAATTCCAAACGAAAAAAAAACATCCATTTATAGCATTTTTTAATTGAATAATCAGAATCAGAATTTGAGAATTAATATTAAAAAAAAATCACATGATCAAAGCTAGTAAAAGATTCTAGGGAATATTCTCAGGGAAATTTCTTGCAGACAAGATTTTTTTTTTAAGTGGTGGGATTGGCCAATCGTAGCTACGGCAAAAAGATTAATGAAAAAACAAGCAATGACTCTAGCTTGGCCACAATATTACCCTTCGTTGTTGGTCTTGTGAGCGCACTAGATTCCGTCATCCTATTCATTATGGCACTGGTTCTCTTTTATTTATCACAATTGTTGTTTTGATTATTGTTCTTATTTCAAGATACACAATGACATAGAAAAAAATATCAATTATGATACATCAAAAGCAAAGAATGGCCATGGCCCACGCTTATTGTTTTACTGATGCTATGGCTAGGAATCGTCAACTCTATCAATTATCATGATCATCCTGATCATGGACGAATGATCAAAAATGACACCAAAATGACCAGGCTGTTCTTTGTCAATGTGGACAAGATTCGATCATCGACTAGTAATGTGACATCAGAAATCAACCGTAAGAATCTTTACCCATCGTTAGTAATTGAGAATGTATCTATTGACCAAATGACCGATCATTTCCTTGATGAATTGAACAAATTTGGTGCCTATTCCAAGTTGACATCACAATTACTGCAATCCATCGTAAACAAAGAATTGGGAGCCACTTTCATGAAGCGATTATTGAACAAAGCCAATCGTAACCATGACCAGCAAACGGTTGATTTAACAGCAGATATTATCGACAACATGGTCGACAAGGTAAGTTCTACTACCCAAGTTAGAACACATTTAATATCAAAGTATTTATAGATGAGCCAACAAGTACAGGATATCCATTCAGCCATCGAAATGGTTGGTGAACTCCTACAAGAAACGTATGGGCAACATTCAAATACAACTACAACCAATACGTTCGATTGTTGCAATCCATACGAAGATAGATGGCCCGAATACCATGAAAACAATGGTAGTGGCTATTACGATGCCAAAGAGCTCCAAGAAATCAAATTAGAAGAACAACAGATCAGAAATTACAATTATGACTATGATAAACGCTTCTACAGTTGGGTTAGCAAATCATTTTCCTGTGATATGGACTACTGGAACCACTACAAAGAATTCCATCCCGCTTTGACCGAACAATTTCGCCGAAACCTTGTGGCCAATGTGCATATCAAATGGCAGTATTACATGTCTTTCAACGGTGTTCACATCGAATATCCAGCTTATTATCCTCCAAACAATTATTGCTTTCTCAACCGATTGAATATGAAAGCCAAATTTTTTACAAATGAATTTAATGCAACCACCAATGGCAACCTGAAGCGATATCCCAATAGTAAGGGGAAAAAAATACTACATCAACATTGGTTAAATCATCATCATCACTATAAAGCCTACGACGACCAAAGGCAATTTTTCGCTCAAAGACATCAGAGTAATTTGATGGCTGCTGCATTACCTCGACCAAAAATGGTCATCATAGTTCTAGATCGAGGATCGGCATTGACTGATCATCAATTGAGAGTAGCTAAATCGATTGTCAAACATATTCTAAATTCATTGTCCCATCGTGACAAGATCAGTCTGGTGGATCTATCATCAAGTGCCCATGATGTTAGTGGTGATACTTGTGGATCCAATCTGGCCATGGCTAATGCCGACTACGAAAGTAAACATATCTATGGAAAATACATTGATAGACTACAACGTTCATTCAATTCGACCAATCACTACCTCGGACTAAAGAAAGCCTTCGAAATAGTTGAGGCCAACTATTTATCATTTAAAGGTAAGTTTATTACGCGCCATTGCATTGAATCACGTTGCCTATATCTTTTCAAATACAGAACAAATAGAAATGGAACCACCAGTACTCATTGCTTACATCAGCCGTGGTCTACTAGCATCATTGGCTGATGCCCGACCAGTTATGCAATTGATAGCCGATCAATTAGCTAATGCAAATTACCAATTCATCATCAATACTTATGCCTTAATTGATGAACGGATCCCTATCATGTTGGAAACAATATTCTTAAGGGAAGTTGCTGCAATGAATTTCCGAAAATTCAATGTTCAATCACCAGCTCAAGTGATGATCAGACCTGGAATTATGGTTGCCATTAACAGTACCGATCAACTAAGCACAGTACTCGAAACCATTTACACAGTATTTAAAAACGACCAACATTTGAACCAAACGAATTCTTTGTACGTCTCACTTCCTCATCAGGATCTTATATCAAAAGGTTCGTTTTTTATTGCTTGTTCCAAATTTCTGGCTAATAATAAATTCATTAATAAATATGAACAGATACTTATGTATCGTTGAGTAAGGCCTACCACCACCCCCAAGATGGCTTGATTGGTGTGATAGGCATTGACATATCTTTGCTTGATTGGGCTGCCGACGTTATTCATTATGATGGCCACCAGAATTCATACGCATTCTTAATGGATGGCTTTACGGGTAAACTCATCTACCATCCAGTATTTGCCAAATACTTCCAGGAAACTTGTAAACCAAGACAAGTGATGAGTAAATACGGCCTGTATACGAATCAAGCAAGTGATTCATTGGAAAATTCCTTTATAAATGCTCATCTGGTTGAGCTTGAATTGAATGATGCTCTTCTGAAACAGATGATTTTCACCACACACAGTGGTGAATATCAAATCGATTCGACTAAATATATGTGGAACAAAACAGTCAATGATTGGTCTTATGAATGGAGAGGATGTCTACTGAATCCATATAAATCTCTGGTGTATCATTGGCGTCGAATACAAGCCACCCATTATATCATAGTTATCGTTTCATCGACAACCCATAATAATAAACAAAGTTCGATTGAACCACATGGCCAAGCAGAATGGCAACTAGTCAGTCATCGTTTAGATTATGATTGGCAATTAAAAGGTCATGTCACACTATGCAAACATTTCAATCAGTTGGCAACTATGGACAAAGCCACTGTTCATCTGTCCCCAAATGCATTCATTGATAGTTACCAAATCGAAATGAATTTAGATTCATCACATACAATACAACGTCAATGGTCATATTTAACCGATCGTAGCGACTTAATTGTCAATCCTGGTTTTAAACCAAATGTACGGCCAGATTTAATTCTAGTGAATGAATTGATTGATCATTGGCAACGGAGAAATCAAGAAATAACAGAATGTTCCAAATATGTAGTCCGTAAATACATTGCTGTTGTAAGTGGTTCGTTTACCGTATTTCCGGGTTCACTTATGGATCTTTCTTATCGACCAAAAAATCGTCCATGGTACATTCGAGCGATTGCTGAACCAGAAAAGATTCATCTATTGCCGCCATATATGGACGTAGGAGGCAGTGGATACATTGTGACAATCAGTCAGGCAATCTACAAAACTACCAACCAAAGCAAGTATTCGGAAAATGACGAGGTATGGGCTGTTATTGGTATCGATTTAACGCTTGGATACTTTCATCGTATACTCGATGCGATGGTATCCATCTGTCGGCGTGATAAAGCTTCATGTTTCCTTGTTGATCAATTTGGTTATATCATCGTACATTCGTCGTTGTCCAATATGCCAACATTGGCCATGATTGAAAGACAACATTTAACGCACAAGGAACCCCATATGATGAATAGTTTGTTGAGCCAAGAGGATCGTTTTATACGAAAAATAGTTTGCAACAGTTACACTGATCGTACCATGCAACGATTCTATCGGTTTAACACGAGTCTCAATGGTATTGTCACCAGTGTCTACCGTAATGAGCAGATTTCCTGTGCCAAATACATGATCATTTCGCTCACGACAACCAATGCATTATTCGGTATGGTCGATCATAGCTGTGATAATGTGACGACTACATTCTGTCCATGTTCATTAACTGATCGTCTCTGTCTCAATTGCCATCGCATTGAACAAACCGATTGTGAATGTCCATGCGAATGTCCATTGGTCATGAATGTATGTAATGGACAATTTATAGAATCTGATGATGGACGACATCCAATCTGTACAACAGCGGCTGTATCACCTCCTTATGAACAACAGTTACGCGAACCATATGGATCCAAGCTTCATCTTGGTTCATACAACAGCTGTATTCATAATGATTGTCATAATAAACTATTGGAAAGGTAGGCCGATCATACACACTAGCTATTCTGATAAACACTGTATTTTTAATTGCTATAGCGAATGCAAAGGAATTCTTGGCTGTGAATGGTGTATCATGGATAATGGAATGACAAAATTAGCCAATCCATTCTGTAGCAATCAGATGGTTTGCTTTGGAGGAATATTCGGATCAGAAAATCCTTATCTAAGCCAGCAACAGCCTTATCTTCACTTTTATCGACATAATGACAAGCCGATGCAGCAGACACAGAGCACTGCACCAATTGGACCATTGACAGCCACATTGATTATCTGTTTTATCATCCTTACCTTTTCTGTGTACTGTTTCCATTTTCAATCCAATCGAAATCTGGCGACCAGTCGATATCTAAACTCTTCCAATCACAATGATCACCAGATGTTGCAGCCGAACAATCATAACGACATGTTTGATGATAGTCAGGAAAATGGTTCAAACATTGAATCTTTGGCTCAAGCAGTTGTCAACGCCAACTATGCACGGATCGCATCTCCATATCAATACAACTCCAACTACAGGTTTGTTAGATCGTTTTTCATGTTCATTCTTAGTTTGTAATCTATATTCCTTAATCAGACGAAGAATGGAAGCGGAATCTGACTATGGCTATTCTACCATGACTCCGAATGAAGATTCAGAACATAATATACCTATTTATATCAACCCTGACATTATCCGTACAAGAAAAAAGTCAAACATGGATTCAAGATCGTCGGTGGCATCGATTGTATCAAATGAAGGCGATTCATCTATACAATCGTCACCATCGACATTATCGCTTAACAACAACGAGGACATGAGTCGATTGCCACCCCCACCGCCTACACGATCAAAAAGCAAAAATCGCAGTAAGCAAATATTCGTCGACACTGAACATTCGAGAGCGACTCGATTATCCACGGTTCAAGAGCGATCGATCGTTGATGCAGAGAATTGCAATTTTTCTGTTCCGGCTAATTGACATTTTGTTCATTTGTACATATATTATTATATAATATTATTAAAATTATCCACGTAACGTGTTCCCAATCATCGCCTTATGATCAAAAATTTAATTTAATTTGTCGGTTGATTTTAATCATTTTCATGCAAATAAAATTACAAGAATTCAAATCAATAGATTCTTTTATATATAAAATTAAAACGAAAAAATTATTTACTCATTAAATTAAGAATGGAAATAAAGAACCAAGCAATTATTTTTTCAAATTTTCAAAAATCCGATTTTTTCTAATTTTTCTTTGATTAATTTCGAATAAATTGCGCGCCATTCATAGCAAACGTGACTCACACGTGAGCAACGTTTGTTAATTTCCTTTTCCCAACACACTGTGTGATTGTTTGTGTCAGCTTGTATTTATTGTTGGTAAGAATATGAAATAAATTGTTAATTTTGATAGTTAATTATAATTTTTTTGTGCTATATTTTTAAGGTGATCAAAATGAAGATTGAACTTTGTTCGTTTAGTGGGTATAAAATATACCCCGGCCACGGTAAACGCCTGGTTAAAATCGATGGAAAAGTATTCCAATTCATGAATTCCAAATGTGAATCATCTCATTTGATGCGAAGAAATCCACGTAAAACTACCTGGACTGTCCTTTACCGTCGTAAACACAAGAAAGGTTCGGAAGTTGAATTGGCCAAAAAACGACGCCGTAAAACAACTAAATACCAACGGGCCATTGTGGGTGCATCGTTGAATGATATTCTGGCTAAACGTAATATGAAACCCGAAGTTCGAAAAGCCCAACGTGAACAGGCTGTACGTGCTGCTAAGGAAAAACAACGATCAACCAAAGGACAGAAAAAATCAAGCCAAGCTGGCCAGAAATCTGGCCAAAAGGCAAAACAAGCGCAAAAAGCAGCCAAACCCGTCATGGCCAAGGCTCCACGTGTTGGTGGAAAACGATGATTGTCTTTGGGAATTTTTATATTTTGTCAATAAATAAAATGATGATTAATCGTATATATAATATTGAATTTATTCATATTCAGGGTATTGTCAAAAGTTCGATACAATAGTCACCGATATTTTCCGATGAATCGGAATGGATAGCTTTCCATAAGGAACTATTTCGTTTTCCGATTAATTCTATCAACGATTCAATCGGGCTCAACTGTTGATAAAAATCGATGTTATCGTCTATTCGGTGGCTAATATGTTTCAATGTTTGTAACACTTGGCTATTCGGACGAACAATGAATTGATGGTAATTTGCATCCAACAAGACCGATATCCATGAAAGTAAATAACAATTATCGCTTGGTAATAGGTCAAGTATCCATTCTATGGCCAATAGCGATTGTGAGGCAGAAACTCGGCATGATTTGAGACAAGAGATCATAAATGTCTCATTGAATGGTAATTTAACTAGCTTCTGGAACAATTGGCGAATTTGTTGTGATCTTTGGTCATCAAGGTCAGTCGTGGCTGTCGATAATTCAAGATGTTTCTGCGTACAGAAAAAGAGCACTTGTGCAATAATTTCCTCCGGTAGTCCTTGATGTTGACGGACAATCACATCAAAATTTTTATTTATTTGAATTAGTCGTTCTAATGATATAGTTTGATGCTCGTCTTCATCGATGGAAGAAATCAGGATGCCCAATTGTTCTTTAAATTGGCTGTGATTGGCCATTCGGATTTCATTTGTCGGACAGTCAATATTGGATTCGGAAAGACCTTTAGTCAGTAATTGCGAAAGAAAAGGTTTTTGGTTTGAAATTGGCAGAAAGAGAATGTTATTGGTACTAGTCACCACCAATGTATCAGCAAGTGCGCGAAACCTCTGGAAAAACACATCCCTAAGATCAAGATTGAGCGAACCAATCCGAATACAGTAGGTAGATTCGTAAACTTCGACAACGAATTGACCATTTGATCTACGGCCAATAAAACCATAGGCTCCACTCTGACAGATGGCCATTGAGCATAGCGTCTCGAATGATGGTCGTTCAAATTGAAGAACTTTACTCTCCGTAAGTAGTTCGTATACTTTAATGCATTCTTCGTGTCTTGTAGCGCCGAGAAGTCGATATCCATCGAATCCAAAAGCATCGTAGTGACCTTTGATTTGTGATTTTTCACTTAATTCAATACGATCTATGTATGAAAATAGGTTTAGTCTATCACAATGAATAACAAACAAATCGACCATACCTTTTCTCATCTCTAGACGATAAACATACATGTTTTGTCCATGGCTGTCAATTGTTCTATAATTAATCACTGTTCTACGTTTCAAAATGGACATTTCGATCTCTAGTATCTTTTCTTTTTCATCAATTACATTTTGACTATTTTCTTCAGAAAAGTGAGCTGTTTTGACTTGTTTCAGCGATGTTATCGAACCATTTGCAAATACAATCAATATATCTGAATGTTTACCCTTTGGTAGCAGAATGTCGATTATTTCTAATGAGAAATTCTTTTTGAAAATCTGCGATAATTGCTTGCCATTGTCGTCATTATGGATAATCCATTCGATTAACGTATTACAACTATGTACGGCGACCATACGATTAGGATAACAGCTATCATCAAATACTGCGGGAACAACGAGACGATTAAGTTCTTCGAAAGACCAACTTTGTAAGGCAACCATTGGCTTAACGCTCATATCATACTTGCTTACGAGATTAGCCGATTCGTTTATGATCAAGTGATCATTATTATTTCGGCTAACCATAAATCTCCGATGATATGTTTGAAAAGAGTCATTACAAAGCGTAGGTAATTTGATCGATTCACCAAAACAATTCATTTCGAATCAAAAGAATAAAATTGTCGAATTTTTAACATTTAAGCACGTGGATGGTTACGTTGTCTATGATGGGAATTTAACCACGCTGATTGCGAGTGATGAAAATATTTTGTCAAAAAGTTGCTTCTTCAAACCATTGTCGTCAAATCCATTTGATCTATATAAAATGGCTAGCTTGAATAAACTTGTCCAAGATGTAAGTCACCTTTTTTATAAAAACATCTATTTAATGTATCATCATTTTTATTAGCTTGGAGAGCAGATCAAAGAACTTGACCGGTTGAAAGGTGAAGCTCAATTGGATTGTAATCGACAATTTATCCAGAATGAAATCAATCGTTTGTCATTGGTTAAACTGAATCATGAAAAAGAACTGGCCAAGTTGACAAGTAATTTTGGCCAAAGTGACCAATTGGGCGTCATTGCGGTTACCAATTACATGTGGGATCAAAGTAACGAACATATCAAAATCTATATTGAATTGGACAAAACAGAAAAAGTCGACAATGGCGAAATTCGTTTAGAATTCTTGTCTGACACCAAGTTTACCTGTATTTTTGGTAAATTCCGTTTTACATTGGGACGTCTATTTAAACCATTGGATCAAGCAAAAAGCAAAGTCATTATAAGCAAATCGAACAAATTGGTAATTACATTGTACAAAGCCAAATCGGAACATTGGTCTTCGCTTCAATCAACAACAGGCACTAGCCCCAAATTGATGGATGATAAGAAAGACATTGATTCGGGTGATCCGGAAAAATCACTGATGAATCTAATGAAAAAGATGTACGATGAAGGTGATGATGAAATGAAAAGGACAATTGCTAAATCCTGGTACGAATCACAACATAAGCAAGGAATGCCAGATTTTTCGCCATAGAGCATGTTATTACATCCATCCATTATAAACTATCTTTAAATCAATCAATTAATAAAAAAATTTTTAATTTACATTGCACTATTCTTTAATTTGCTAATAAACGATAAAATTTCCATGTTTTACGAATACGAATCGATCAAAGGGGATACTGTATCCACTGTAAGTAGATACCGATGTGGATATAGTGGCGTAAGCATGTTTAGAAAATTCTGAGTTTATGTTGAATGTTTCTGGATTTTTTTTTGAATCAATATTATGGGACGTAAAAAAGTAAAAAAATTTATCGATAAAAACAATTCGATAACATTTCAATTAGTTGGTCGTAGCCAGAATGATCCGTTATTTGTCGATGAAACAGCACCACAATATGTTCTTGTGGAAAAGAAATCCGGACAAGAGGTTTCGATTGATTCGAAAGAACCTGAACCAAATGGCAGTGATCCACAAAAATCCCTAAAAGATCGTCAAAAACGTCGTGAAGAACAAATCAAATATGGCATTTATTTTGATGATGATTATAATTATCTTCAACATCTGACTGATGTCACTGAAATTGCCCTACCAAAAGGTATCGATTACGAGACGATCAAAAAGAATCGGGAAAATAAAAAGCCATTGTTAATGCTGCCTTCATCGGTATTTGAATCTACTGTAGTGGAAAAAGATGATCTCAATAAAAAGCTGCTTTACCTGTGGGCCCACAATTGGATTGGGATCCAGATGTAGTCGAAGCCATGGAAGATGATTTTGATTTCGACGATCCAAACAATCAAATTGATGATGACTTCGTCATGCAAGCCATGCATCCTCACAATGGAAATAAAAATGAACGAATCGTTGATATCAATGACACTATCGATGATTATCGAATCGAACAAGATGAAGTTGAAGATGCAGAAGATAATTTGTCAGTCTGTGGATTTAATGGCAGTGATGATGATGATGACGAAGCTACCGATCAATTCAATATTGATGCAAAAGTGATGAATAAAAAGAATATTAAACGATTCTTTGGTCTTGCTTGAAGATGACGATGGACAAACCGTAAAAACGTCAGCTTCTACACATTTCACTGAATATTCAATGTCATCATCAGTTTTACCTCGAAACGAAAAACTTCAAACATTGGATGAGCAATTTGAACAAATGTTCATTCGAGAATATGCCGATCAGATGGAAATCGGTGCATTAGATACTGAAGAAATCAGTGGCGATATCGATCCTAATCGCAGTGATTTGATGGCCAAATTGGTAGAAGAATATGAACAATTCAAATCCGGAACGTGGCTTGAATATGAACGTAATGAACAGGCAATCGATTATGTTCGAAGAAAATATTTGAAATCAGAAAATAATGATAATCAAATCATGGCTCATGGTGATGATGAATTAATTGAATCCTCAAGTGACAGTGAAAAGGAAGAAGTTGTAATTGTTGATACCGGAAGAAAAGGCGACAAGGATCGTTTCGATTGTGAATCAATTCTAAGCGTATATAGCAACACTAATTATCATCCGAAAGTATTGAATGAATCTATTGACCGTTATGGAAATAAAATTGTCAAGAACAGTCATATCCGTATCGATCAAAGAACTGGAATGCCTACTAAAACTGGTTCTAATCTTGGGATGAATACATTGGTCAATTTAGATGGTAAATCCACAAGGAGCAATATGTCTCGTTTATCTGAGCTATCAGTTCGACTTAAAAACGAAACAACCGATGAAAGGAGACAGCGTAAAAAAGAACTTAAAGAATTACGAGCCGAACGTCGGGCAGAAAAGAAAGCAAATCGATTAGCTTTCAATGAGGAAAAAATTCGTTTACATAAAGCCGATATGAATAAATCAGTACAGAAAAAAGTGACCGTCAATTAGAATTGTTTGAATGAATCAAATCTACATTTTCTATTGAATAATTTTTTCATTAAAGAATTTATTTCATGTTTTAATGGACTGTTTAAATTGTACCTAATCATAAATAATACGCAATTCAACAAGTGAAAATTTGATTTCATTTGTAGCCAGGGTTATGCTGACACATCAATCTCAGTACAGATTTTCATTACAAGCTAACGTTTGGACAAATACTGAATAGTTACTGTCAACTACAACAGTCGATGTCAGCACAAATATATTATAATTATAATTGAAATTAGCATTTTTTTTTCGTCACATTTGATTTGATTATTCGATCGATTTCAATATTGGCTTCTATTTTGAATTACACTGGTTCCTATCATCTTTGATTATGTATCGGGATTTTGGCCATCATCAATGTTTGTTATGAGTCAGCAGGATGCATTGCTGATTATTGAAATTTTTTAGCACTTGGACATTGAATTCGATCATTATTAACAATTATTATCACCATATAGTAAATAAGATTGTTGATAATGTTCGGGCCATTTCTAGCCCAAAGACTATTTAGTATATAAAATAAAAAAATATCATTTTCATCCGAACGAATCTTTCTTATGTTTCCGTAGGATTTGATTTGTGATACAAATAAAATAATTTTTTTTCATAATCATAGTGTACAATCAATTGAGTGGTCAATTTAAAAAAAAACACGAAAATGGTGAAAATTATACTTTCATCATTTTTATTGACCGCTGTGCTGGTGGCGAACAGCATTCACACAACTACAGGTGAGTATTCATAATCGAAATTTATATTGAAATCAATTTTTAAAATAATCATTCAACACGATGACAGCCCGTTCATTTGATCGTGAAAATCGACCTAATGAATCCAAGCTAATCTGTATTAAACATTGTCATCTGGACGATGAGTTTAATAATGACAAATTCATAAAGTTCGAAACTGGAAAATCATACGTTTATGCGGTAAAAGTTACCAATGAAATTTTAGCTAAAATCAATAAAACCCAAACGGATGGTACTGTGGCCGATAATCTAATCCAGATTGATGGTCAAGCACGATTGGATTCGATCAACGCTTGTGAAGTATCAATGCATTTGGAGAATGTCAACATTCGAATGTCTAGCACTGAGTCCTCTTCCCCAGATAAAGATGAAGAAATCGAACGTTATGAACGTCAATTGCAAATTCCAATCATTTTCTCTTATAAAGATGGTATTGTTACGGAAGTTTGTTCTCCGGAACACGAACAAGAGGAACCATTTGTGATTAATGTTAAAAAAAGTATTATCTCCGCATTGCAGACCATCTCGAATATTGAAAACAACAAAAAGGATCAAACAGTAAGTAATTTTCAACTTGTAATATCAAACCACATATCATTTACAATTGATGAATCTTTTGAAAGGTGGTCGAAACTGATTACCATGGTGAATGTAATACCGATTATCATGTCATCGAGAATGGTCAAGATCGATATTCCGTTTCGAAACGAAAAGATTTGCTGAAATGTAAGTTCAGTTTTGTCAATTAACCGTGTTTTAACGTTGACAATCGATTATCTTGTTCAGGCATCAATCTTGAAGAATCGGATGAATTTTCCGACATTGGTTTCCTTATCGAAGAAAGCCGTGAAGCTCATTCGGAATGTGAACAACGAATTGAATCGCATCGTGTTGTTGAATCGGAATGTCATTCATCTCGTTCATTGGATACTTTGTTCGATCATTTCGACATTGATTTGATATCACGTGTTCATCTGCAACAAGTATCAGCCAGTAAGAATTCTCAAGAATTCAAAAAAAGCAATTCTATTCTATTGAACAATCAACAACAATGGTTACAGGATATTTTTCGATTAAAAAAATCACCATCATTAAAATCTCGATCTAAATCGTCGGTGATGGAAAAAGTTGAACTCAAAACTGTCTTACAAAAGATTTGCAAAGACATTAAACAAAATTGGAATCGTGTCAGTACGAAAACCGTAGATTATGTTCAACAATTGACACAAGCTTTCCGATATGAATCGGCCGAAACGATCAAATCAATTTGGGATGAACAAATTAATATTGATGAACAACAAAATTTTTGTGGTGATCAAGGAAAAAAATTGAAAGACATTTTTGTCGATACAGCTGCTTCAATTATGCATGAAAATACGGCAACAATTGTTCGTGATGAATTGTTACGTTTGAATAAGAAACGAGATGAAGATCCAATGGCCAATGAACGTTTACGATATCTAGCTACTTCAATGGCTTTTGCTCAATATCCATCAATGGTGGCTATACAACAGATTTTACCAGAATTATTGGATAACATCCATGATTCAGATATTGTACTCAGTATTTCAGCTTTGATTAAATCTCCCATTCAACAACATCAAGATTATATTAAATTCAAAGAAGAAATGTACAAGAAAATTGTCGACATTATCATGAAAAATATTCAGAATGAAAAAGCCGAAGTGCAAAATGTACGATTGTTTATTGCATTGGAAAATGTTTCACCATGGACTATGGTAGCCGAACAAGAACGTTTATTGCCAGTAATTGTAAATTCAAAATGGAGCGATCTGATTCGAGTCGTAGCCATCAAATCCTTCGATGCCGTTCAACCTACACCAACAATACGACAAAGTTTACTGAAAATTTTTGCCAATCCAGATGAAAGTAACGAGATTCGTATAATCAGTTATCGTACGTTGATTAAAACTGGAACCACTGTAGAAGAATTGCAACAAATATTAAACGTAATTGAAAAAGAACAACAATCACCACACAGACATGTGTACAATTATGTTTGTTCACATCAGAAAATTCTAAGGAATACACTCAACAAAGTCAAACACTCATCATTGCCTGATAATGCTCCTGAATTTCCAGAACCAGCATCATTAATGCAAGTATTCCTTTCCCGACACTATGAATACGACTATGTAGAACAAAAAACAGGATTTGGAAGTTTCATTGAAACCGATGTAATTATGCCTAATGGAAACGAGACATTCAAAATTCCACGTTCAATTACGGTCAACGTAACCATTCCGATGGGCAAAACCGATAGACAAATGGGAGTAGCAGAAGTCACTATTCGTCAAGAAGGTTTTGAAGGTTCGATCAGCGATAAAATTCTATCCAATATCAAACATACATTGTCAAAACATCAAATCGATAGCGAATTATTTGGCCAATTAGATTCCATCGTTAAATCAATGACATCATCAAATGCTACAATGTCATCTCATCGACGAATTCAGTTGTTAGTCAATGTTGATGGTAAAAATATATTCCTCTATGATAGCGATGACCGTGAAAATTGTTTGTCTAACATGTGGAAACAGTTAAGCAAACGGTTGCCAATTCGTATAGATGAAACAATGATCATTATGCCATGGCAAAAACGTATAGTCATTGACCAAACTTCTTCAGGTGTTCCCATGTATTTCGAGTTTAATTCTACCTATATTGGTTCATTGGAAGCAATCGTTGTCAATAAGTATCAATCAACCGATGGTATGGATGGATTCATGGAGTTGATGCTAAAACCAACTTTTGTGGCTCATACAAATGTTGGTTTTGGAATTGAAGGCCAAGAAAACATGATGGATCAATTCCGAATCGTCAGTCAAGTACTTGCGGCACCTACATTACATTTTCAAATGGAAATCAAGCAAGCTAAACAATTACGAATGAAATTTCTTTTGCCCGAACAGGAGCAAGTATGGTGGAAATCTGAAACGAAAATCATCAAAGGTCGACATTCACAAGTTGGTCACTTTAATAATGAACCAACAATGGTTACAAAATGTACGCCTGATTTAATGACCAAATTTTTGGGTGTAAGTCTTTGTAAAAAAACCATATTGACCAGTTCATTGTTGAAACAAAGTGAAATGAAAGAAATAATGGTTGATTATAATGAAATCACTTTACGTAAGCAAACCGAACAAATGCAAGGTATTGAAATGACCCTCGAGATGCCTGAACAATTTTTGGCACCAATGTTGATTCCAGAAGATGAAAGCAGAATGAAATTTGAATTTAGTATAGCAACACCAATTGCCAATCAATCAGATCAACAGAAACGATTCGAAACAGAATTTGTAGTCGAATTACCTGTGAAACAAACCGATGATCAATTATCTGCTAATTTTTTCATTCATGTATTGAAACGAAAATTCCAGGCACATTTCCAACTATTCGATGGTACTCAACAAAAGTCATTTCTCTTTGAAATTGTAAACGAACAAAACGTTAAACTTGTTCATGTCAATGTTGATGGACAAGTTCAATCAGATGGATCGAACTCTCCCAAAGATGCAAAATTCAATGTTAAAGCTGTTTTACAACCTCTAGAAGGTATGAAAATTATCGATAGTAAAGGGATGATCACTTATCAAAAACAGCAAGATGGCCAACAAAAAGTATGGATTAAATTTGATTTTAATGATCAATCTTTCGTCGATATGGTCATCAACCAAAACGGTCAATATGATAATGGGCCATTCAAAATTTCAACTGAAACAAAAATAAAAATCTACGAAGCTCATGTTGAACATGGATGGTTGTTTGTCAAAGATTCGAAACGAATTAAATCAACAAACCAAATCCGATACAATCAATGGTCTAATGTGAATGAATACGAAACAATCGATATTGAATATGAATTAAACGGTTACGATTATCGTTTGCCATGGCTAACTGATAATATCGAAAACTTGAAACGATATCTCCATTACAAGTTACTTTCGTCACAATATCCATCATTGAATGTGGACATTTCATACAATCAAAAACGACAACCAGATTTAATGGACGATGAATTTGTCTGGAAATTCGGTAAGAATCTTGAAATGAATCAATTTCGAATCGAACGAACCACAAGAAAAATTCACAATGTTCATGATCGAGAATCAACTCGTTTAGATACGGAAATCCAGGTTCAATTTACACCAAAAAACATTCATTATGTCATGAATGCCATCACCGATGTAACCAAATATGGTGAAGAGCGAAAAGTGTCGACAAATCAAGTAAAAATCGAAGAAAAAAAACGGCATCTTTTATTGATTGAATCTAATTTTCATTCTGAAAAAACTTTATCAAAACCATTTCATTCGCATTGTGATGGTGAAATCAAATTCCATCAATTTAAATTTACCGTCTCATACAAGGATAAAATTGATGAAATTGAAACTGGTAAATATCGTGGAAAGATTGAAATGGCAGCCGTACCGGAATCTGGATCTAATGAATTGCCACAATGGGCAGTAAAACAATTACATATTCAATACACGCTCGAAAGTGATATTGATCAATATGAAGGAATGATAGATTTGATCGCCAATGTACGTAAATTTCAATATGAAACATTCTTTGAGAATAATCTCTTGGGTCATTGTGGACAAATGGGACTTTTTGAATTGCACGACAAACATATGGGCAATTTCGAATTGAAAAACGTCATGCGACGTGAAGGAGAAATGATCTACGAATTGGATATTCATCATCATCACGATGATAATGATAATTGTGAATGTAAATTGGCATTTAACACCGGATCGTATAATAACGTAAAAATTGGTGCCCATTTAAAAAGGAACGTTCGAAATAATCAACTGAATGGAAAATTTACAGCTAAAAAATCCGGCTACAGTCATGAAACATCAGTTGACATGAACCAAAACGTGTTGGATGTATCAAGTTTGACCAAAAAACAAGATCAAACCATCTTCATGTTTAAAGCACATCTGAACCAACAAAATCAGCTCGATATTCAAAGTGAATCTGAATTTTTCATTCTAAATGTCCAATACGAACATTTGGACAATAAACAAAATGGTTCAAATGTAATGGTTGAATTTCAATTGCCACAACTTCAAATTGAACATCAAAGCAAAATTCAAGTCAACGGACAATCAAATCAAGAAATATCTCAGATACAAATTGATTCACAAACACGTCATTATGAAAGAAATTGGTTAAAATTCAATTTCCACACTCAATCAGATCAAATGTCCGTATTTGATGGTCAATTTGGTGGTGATTTACATGGTCAGATTAAAATCGAACAAGTTCAACCAAATTTTTATCAGTTGATGGTCGATATTAAAGCTCCTGGACAACAGATCATTCATCAGACAAAAGCTAAATGGCAACATCATCCATATGCAACAATCATTGATTGTTGTCAATTAATTACATTTGACATGAAAAACTATCTTGGTGAACGAATGTTGTTTGATGTAGTTTACAATCGACAAGAACAAATGGCTCAAAAATATGTACACGAATTGATAATTAGTACACGTTTCTCACAGGCTGAATTCGCTTGGTCACCGAAAAAAGCATTGGTCGTGTTGAAGACAAAATTATTCAACGGTATCGATCATCGAACCGAATTTGAGGAATTTAATTTTCCAACAATAAAGTTTTTATCAAAAACTAAACAAAATAATCATCAATTGATCCAATTAATAGGTGATTTGATGTTCCGAAATGGACAGAAATCATGGATGGAAGCAATCATTGGTGATAAGAATGTTGTACATATGGGATTTGTGCCTATGAAAGAATTATCAACTCAATTTGAATCAGGAGATGGTATTTACCGTGGTTCGTTACAATGGACACGTACGGAACCAAAGCAATGGCTAATGAAGATCAACGGTCAGAAACATTCATCACAATTCAAAGTCATTGTTGATCACGAATGTCATGATCACACCGATATCGAATGGGAATCATCCACAATTCATGGAAAACTGCAGCATCGACTTAATGATCGTTTGGTTCGATTTGATCTGATCGGCGAGAAGAACGAAAAAAACGACAATTTCGAACACCATAGTCAAGCTCGATGGGATCCAGATTGGCGAGAATTCAGTCTAACTTCGGAAACCAACAAATCTGGCCATAAATTGATTTCCTTTGATGCAGCATTCGTAGCAAGGCAATCATTTCAATTAAATGCTGAATCTAACCTGAAAAAATTTCCAATCAAATTAAACGCAATGATCAACAGAAATAATAGACATGTCGATTTTGAATTCCATGACAAACTTCAAGATCGACGGGCTCGTTTTGAAACAAAAGCAAAAAATATCAAAGATTTTCGCGTACATTGTGCATGGGGACAACCACAAGATGAAACCAAACAGATTATGATTGAATCTAAAATTCAATCACAGCAGAATAAAGCCAAGATTCAAGGGCAATGGTTTGAACATCACATTGAATGTGAAGGCCAGATGGAAAAACTTGAAAATATCCTAGAAAGTCAGATCAAAATGAAAGCTCAATATTCAAATCTGGAAAGTAATGATAAGAAATTGGCTAAATTTGAACATGAATACAAACAACAAGAAGGCACACATGATGTTTTGGTCGAATGCCGTAATGGTCAAACAAATCTGTTGACTGGTCAAGCCAGGCTCAAAGTACGGAATAGTCGATCAGTGGAATTCGAAATGAAAACCGAAACTGATTTGAAAGATGAATGGGATCTCATGAACACACAAGCTAAATATGAACATCGATCAAATAAAAAGAAAAATTTTGGACAAATCTTATCGCTTCAAATGGGATCAAATGATCAGAAAAAATCGATCCACATAAAAGGCCAAAGTGATTCAAAAGCCATCACTTATGAATTGAATTTTGATTCACCAAACTCAACTGTAGAGAAGAAGGCAAAACTAGAATGGAATAAACCGGAACGTAAATTGCAGCTTAACGTATATGATAAAAACGGTCGTATTGTTGACGTGAATGTTGATCTATTTGCTAAAGCAGTACAGAAAAAATTTCAAATTGTTTCATTTACGGATCGAATTCCAACAATCGATGTGGAAGCTGCTTTCGGTGACAATTCACATTTGGTCTTTGCTGTAAGCTATCAACAAGAAAAAAAATTGGAACTAGTTTTGAACTGGTTCGGCAAATGGCGTCGCGATTATCGGGCAGAAATCATGTTCCAGAGATGGGCTGAACCAAGATTCGAAATGATGATCCAATCGCATCATCCGGCTACATTCGATAATGTGGATGCTCGATTCAAATATCAAAACCAAGAAATTCAAGCTAAATGGAATGATCGCTTTGGTGATGATCGACATTGGCAACGTGAAGCAACCGTCCAGGTTGATGGCCATGAAGTATTGCATTTGAATTTGGATCGAATACATCGTGATGATTCACAACGACCATCAACACATGAGATCGTACGTTATGAAGGTCGATTGAGTGGTGACTATAGTGGCGAAGGAAAAGCTGAAATTGTTTTGGATAAACAAACTGGTCAGGTGAAAGTATTGCGTGTGGAAGCTCAAGAACAATCTCGATACAATCAACGGTACCTTGTAGAATTGTTTTTCCGTTACCAAGAACAATCAGAATCACCGCAAATATCCGGAATGGCCATCGAAAGAGATCATGGAAAACCGGTATTGATTGCAACCTATGTGGAACCACCGCCAATGTTAGTTCAAATGCAAACTCGAATTAATACGCTGGCACATTTGTATCTTCCAGGAGATATTGATTATCAATTGTTGAATGAAATCAACTATGCTCATGAAGATGAGACACCATCTTCTCAGCCATCCAATTATAGACCCATACAGCATGTCAAATCAAAATTATTGAAAAAAGGTTCACGAACTCCGATTGTCGACATGACAGTGGAATATGTTCACAAAGAACAAGATCCAAAAGAAGTTCGAGTCGAATGGCGATCACCAAAATTTTTAGCAAATGAACCGAAAGTTTTCAAATTGAGATACAATTTTGATTCAATTGATAGTGTTTGTGAAAAGAGCAAAAAGTTCATTGAAGTAGATGGACAGCAAAAAATGCAGCATAAATGTTCAAGTTTGCAGATGATTTTTGGTGATGAACGAAATTCCCAACAAAAGCCAACGGTTTCTATTTCAATGGAATTCGTAAAACAACCAACCGCAGTGAATCATAGTATTTTGTTCGCAGTGGAAACAATGAATGAAAGCGGTCCTAATCGAGTTGTCAACTTTACCATGTTTAGTCATTTATCACCGGTATCGATCGGTGCCAAATGGCACAATGTGAACAGATATGGTAGAGAACAATGGGGTCAAATCTACTTTGGAACTAACCAGCAATTAAATGTTACAAAATATTATGACATCATTTTTGGTGGTGACCGAAGCTCGTACTCTATTCATTTGGAACCGAAAAACATCAGACAAAGTTATGTGGATATTAAATTCAATGTATGGCAATTGCTCAAATCCGTCTTTGATGGTTCTCAACCTAAACGTATCGAAGAATTTTCCGAAAGAACAGATCTTTATGGATGGCGAAACCAAATGTTTGAAGAACTTAAAGATGAAATTCGTTATAAATGGCTTCTATTTAAACGACAAATAATTGATCGTGAATTGGTCATGCTGATTGTAGATGAATGTCAACAAATTCGGCATAAAATGCAAAACAGTGATGATTACATTGCCCGAATGATTATTCAAACATTGGATAAAGTTAGCCAATGCTATGAACAATGGTCCGATAGATACGATATTGAACTTATTTTAGACGAAATGTTGACAGCTTTATATCGATATGTTGAACAATTCGAATGGAAACTTCTCAACATGGTCGAAGATCGTTGTTTTCAGTATGAACACTGCCGACAATTGTATCGTAAGATTCGTGACTACGAAATTCATCAATTAGTACGACGAAATGTGGAGAAATATATTCCACAAACAATGATGAATGTTTGGAATGATTTCAACCAACAACAACCAAGTCTAACAAAACGTGTAGATCAAATTTACGACCAACTTCAGAATGGAACACTACTCAAAAACAATACCGTATCGAATTTCGTCAACGAATGGGCAAATCAATTCTCTTCATTGTTTTATGGACAACAACAACAAAAACAACAGAAAAATTCGAAAATCAAAATGAACAAACAAATTGGACATCATTCGAATCAAACAATTACAACAATGATAACGAATTCTATGGTTCATCCAATCATCATAATGATGGCAATGTAAACAAAATTGGCCAAAATATAATTAAAACTAGCTGGTTTTAAATGGCCATTTGATTTGATTTGACCAAAAATCATCACCATCATACTAAATCGAATTTTAGTGTTCTAAATTATTATTTCTTATTATTTGAAACAGATTCATGTCAATCTTTAGATGATTTGATTTTCTTTTCTTCATTAATTTCCCTTAGTTAATCAAGATTAATTATTTAATCCCTGAATACCTTGATGTTTTTTGAGATGCATATATTAAATTAAAAGTTAATTTATTTTTATCAAGAAGTGTTTGATTTTTTTCTCTAAACTATTTCTTCTTTTTAGGTCTTTTTCACAAATGTGATCAATTCGAATTTTGTTTCGAAAATCAACTTTGACGTGTATCATAAGACAATTGCACTAAATTTAGACGTGTTATAGCATCAAAACAAAACAACAAATGCTGCTATATGTTTTGTCTGATGCATTCATAATATAGCTGGTCAATGGATTAGTTTTTGTTTTTGTCAACTCGATCGAACAAATCTCAATACCTTTTATTATTAATTTTGAATTGATTCTTTCAACAACATTAATATCGAAAAGAATTCATAAATTAAAATCTTCGATGATGGCACCAAAAAATGTTTATCCAATAATAACGATGGACAATGATGATGATAATAATATTCGTAAATGTAGACGTGAACGATTGGTTCATATCCATGACAACAGTCATGAAGAAAAAGGTAGACAAAATTATCGATGGTCTAATTCAATAGTTACTTATGTTAACCATTGTCAACAACAACAATATCACCAATTTCATAATCATAATGATTCGACAATGCAAACTGTATCAACATTGTCACCAGTTTCAAGCAATAGCGATCGACATGACATAATTACGACAATAACGACAAACAATAGTCAAAGTTCCAACACTAATCATATCGATACATTAATTGAATCACGTAAAACATGGCCAGTCGGTATAACGACACGATCAGCTATACGAATGATGCGTTCATGTGGTTATAATAAAGATCATTATATTAACCATCAGCAAGATTCTTTCAAACCAAAATATTGCCCAACATCAGAATTGCCAATCAAAGAGAAAAATAATTCATCAAGACGAAAAGAGAAAAGCCAATCATCGAACAAGACATCATTTCAATGGTCTGAATTGATTAGACCCAGAGTAATTCATTTGAGGAAATTAAAATCATTCCGGGTACTTGTGTTTGGTTCTATGAACAAAAATAGTATCACTGCCAATAGTGGAGGCAATTATAATTATGATGGTCATCGTCTAGACAATAATTTCCTAAGGAAATGTCGTCATAATTTTATTATGGAACCAAATTACCAACGAAAAGGTAGCAATAGTGATCTACTTTCGACGTACAACATCAATTATGCGTGTGGCTTATCGAATGTTTGTCTCGAACTTTGTTTTCTGAAATGGTCGGATTCGTTTCAAACTAAATCGGAATTTTATCAACAAACATTTGCTCCTTATTTCGATATGACCAATATAGCAATAGGTTATTATGATCCAAATGATTTGGAATCTATTGAACATATGCAATCATGGATCAAAGCTTTTTATAATCATCATCATCATCATAATAAAAAATCATTAATCAATATGGTCATCATTCGAATCGAAGATACAAGCTCAAGCCATTTTAGACGATTACTACGAAAAGCTAAACGACTAGAACAACGATCCTATGACCATATAGTGTCATCTTTGTTGAATAAATTTCGTACATCCATCTATCATATGACTATCAAACATCGTCTATTCGGACGTAAACCTTCATTAAAACCATTATGGAAAGTAATGTATCATGTAATCACAATGGGCCGTATGATGATTAAAAAACATTCGATGGATGAAGATTCAATGATTATTGATCGAATCGAAAATGTTGAAAGACGTCTTACTCGTGGACATAGACAAGAAACATTAAATAAAATGATAGGTCGTTTTATACGAAACTTAACAAATGGAATTTGGCGATTTATAAAGCGACCTAATCATCATCATTGGTTTTAAAAACCACTTTTAAACGAAAAAAAAATTTAGTTTAAGTCTATCGCTATTTGTATGTGTATCTGTACTATAGTACTAAATTTAATTTATAATTATTTTTTTTTGTATATCTTCATCATTTCAATCATACAGTCAATTATTCTTAACATAAATATTTAGCACATTATTATCGATTTTATTATTATTATTATATCCTGATGATTGAAATTAATTTTGAATTCAATTAAAAACTAACATTTTTTTGCTTTTATTCTTGTTTGAATTTGCTAGAATATTCTTTTTTGTTTTGTTTTGTTTTGTACAGATAATTAATTAATCATTTGTTTGTTTGTTTGTTTGGATTTGTATATATGGTAATCAATTAAAAATTTTTTGTCTGATAACATGATTAACAACAGACAAATAAGATTAAGAAAGATTAAGCTTTTTCTTTTGTTTATATACGAATTTTTGGAAGAATAAAAAGAATTTGAATATATAATATTATCTAATTTAGATAATGATGATAATGATGATAACAATTAGTAACACTGTTAAGGTTCGATTTGTTTTTCCTGTATATGTAGTCCGAATATATAGGATAAAATGAAGTAAATAGAAAAATAAATAAAATCATCATCACCCAAATGATAGTGTTTGTTTATGTATGTGTGTGTGTGTGTGTATGTCGTCTGTCACCAATCGAAACAATCAAACTAATATTTATCATTCATGTGATTGTATCGATTGTATTTCATTGAACGATCGTGATTATAGCCAAATTGGCATCAATAAAACTCTATGATGGTAACAACAATAGGGTTGCTGATTGTTCATGATGTGAAATATTTACACGAGTAATACATAGATTTCATAGTATTATATAAGCACATTTACATTCATGTAGGTATGGATGAGTGGAGAGAGCATTGCTTTTTTCTAGATGGATTTCTATCAAATTTATCAATTTCGATCAATCAAGGGTCACGATGGCAATGATCAGATGATTGAAAATGAACAGATTACATTAATCAATATGTTGACGAGAACGATCATGATTATTGTTGTTACCGTAGGTTGAAAGAAAGCTAGGCGTTTCAGGACGATCATCTTCTTCAGCAATGATATCGTTTTTCAATGATGATGGCAACAGACCACAAGTGACCACAGAACTAGCACCGATTGCTTGATTCGTCAATGATAAGGAATCATTAGTATGACTAGTTGCCGTTTTGCTCACTATCGTCATGGCTGTTGTTGTAGAGCAAGTAGTGGCCACTGGATTAGACGACGGTTGAATCGTTGACGTCATGGAGGATGGTGGCCCAAGTAATGCGGCAGCCGTTTGGATAGCCTGGGCGGTTATGTTAGATAATGCATTTGGCATGATCCCTATTCCGCTGCTTATTGAACCCTGGCGTGAATGTGGATTACCACCGTTGATTGTTGACGATGAACCGGATGATGTAGTTTTGGCTAATGGAACATCGCCCACCGAATAGATAATATTCAATTTGGCACCACCCATTTTTGGTGGTGCAATCACATGAACACGTTGTTCTTCTTCATTCAGTCGGCAATGAATGGCAGCTTGAGTGTATCTTGCATGGGCATTCCAATGTGCTGTACTAGAATCTTCAAGAACAAATTTATTGAATATGGCTGCACCAATGTACAGTAATAGTAGGACACCGATTGAACCTAACATCATGTAGGTGATCTGTGACCACGTGTAACGTGTTAAGCCTTTCAATATGGAAAACAGTATGATGATTAACAAGAACATGATCCAAAACAGATCTTCAAGACCTAAAAGAAAAACAATAAATATCATAACAATCGAATTAAAAATAAAACTCACCGAAATCGGCTTTTTTCTTACAACAAGCTTTGAATAAATTTAAACATTCTTCAACACTGGAAGGATCAACAGCCAATTGTTCAACATTTGGCTGCAGACTTGAACGGCCGGTCGTATCATCATTATCATTATGATTGTTGTTACTTAAATTTCCATTTTTACCACCGCCCCCATCGTTGGAGACATCCGGATGATCACCACTCGGACGATTATCATGTTCAAAATCTGTCGTTTTAGTTTTTTGATTTTGCATTTCTATTGTTGTTGATATTGATGTTGGTATGATTGATGACAAGTAAAATTGAATGATGTAAGGGAACAGGATTTCGTTTGGTTTGGACGTATTATGATGGCGATAGATTAATTGCTGATGAAATTCAATCGAATGATATAAAGATCACAGGGTTATATCGACAATATTTTTCATGTATACGCAGCGATTATTGATGTAAAAAATATAACTTGTCTTTAGTCACCGTATAATGATTGTTTAGAATTTGATCGATACGGTTACTGATACCTGGGAGTAGTATGATTCGCTTAAATTTTATAGAACGAATAAAGAAATGACAATAGTAACTTTTTTTTTACTTATCTGGATGGTAAACCGTTTTGTTTTGCAAAGTTCTTGAGTATTTTCTTCGATATTGAGATGACATATATCACAATGAGTGGCAAGGATGCGATTTACAAAATCAATGCTTAATATTATGAGAGTTGTGTAATAAGAAACGATTCATTGTCGTTTTTTTCATCATTTTTTTAAAAAATCAAATCACTACGGGTAAATTTTATAGCAGAAAACGATTGCTTTGAAACTTTTTTCGACGACGACAACAATGATCCAAATGATAATGAATGGTTTTCTTTTGAATTCAAAAGTTAATTTGCGAAAAAAAAATAAATTTAGTTTTTTCAAGCAATTCTTGCTAATTTGATTCAAATTGTCGACATGAAAAGTGTTGCATTTGTGTGTGTGTTTTTTCAAGAAGAGTTTCAAATTTCATCACGGATCGAGTGTAACTATCAATCTATCTTTCTCTCCTTGGGGATAGCATGTAATAACAGAATTATTGCTTGAAACTTAATTCAAATGAATGTGAAAGAATCAAGGGACTATGATTGTTGATTTGATCTTATTTTACTGTATCAAAAAAAAAAAAAAAAAAATCTACATGAAAGTATTTGTCGTTGAGTTTTTCTTTGGATTTTTGTTCACAATGAATACATTTCTCCATTTGAAGATGACAAATTGAAATTGATGTGATGGTCATAAATTTAAATAACTTAAGTAAGAACGAAAAAAAACGGAAGTTGAATATCAATATATGATCAAGACCACTGTTGAAATAATTTCTCTTTATCAGATTTTTGATATTAGAAACAAACTCAATGCTGGGATTACAAACAAATAGATATCATGATGCTAATTTCCAATTCAGATTTTTTTCGATTAGATGATAATATTTCACGAATTAAATGAACTTTGCTATGAATGAGTATTTGTTTTTATTCCTGAAATGTAAGCTTCACTTTCGAAAATAATTTAACAAATAATGATCACATCTTCTCAGAACTATTTCTTGAAAAATTAAAAATGGATACGGTTCACTTGACCCAATGCTTGTTGTTGTAGGTAGAGTTGTTGATCACATATTTTGATTTACAATGATTGTTTGAAACAGACACAAAAAAACAATTTTAAAGACATATAGTTTAGTATTCATCTCAATTATTTTGATGACATCAAAATTTTTTTTTTCGAAAAAAAACACTCGCTGCTATTAACATTTGTGTGTGTGTGTGTGTGTGTGTTAACAACAGACACATAGACCAAACGAAAAGAAAGAACAAGTCAAGATGAGTGCGATTATGGAAATAAAATTGTGATTGTAATTCTCATGAGGTGAATCCGATGTGATGTTGTGTTGTTGTTTTTTTTTCACTTGAAGAAACAAACAAACACTTACAAAATATTGAATCCAAGGGGCCTCGAACAATCAAGAAAAATAAAACATGTATATATGGATCGTTGTTTGGCACCCTGATATAATATTGCCATATAAATACACAGCTAGTTCAGTACTTTTACTAGGGCCAACAGTAAAACGAAAGATAAAGAGAGAGAGATAGTCTAGATCTGATTGTGAAAAGCCAAAACCTCTTGAAGATCGTAGAAGAACCTCAGATTAGAGCACAAGTCAATTGAAAGAATAGTGTATAGGGTTGGCCATTCGACGACCGCGTAAAAGATGTTTCCGTATAGATTTAGAATATGGACGGATGGATTGAATATACTGGTGTTATAGCCACAACAACGATCAGTCAAACAATTACAATAGATACTATAGCCAAAAACATCAAAAAGCAACTGAGAATGGGAACACCACCAAGCCAAAGTGGTGATCAATAACATCGAACCGATGGGTATCAGCAACGTATAGAAGAAGAATACAGAATGAAAGTTTCGTCCGCAAAAAAAATGGTGAGGGAAATTTTTCTTCCTCATGTCTCATGTATTGGCTGGTTTGGTGACCTATACATCAGCAGAGCGGTACCAGAAAAAAAAGATGAGTTTTGTCGCGCGGGCGCTCACCACTACGACAACCGAATAATTCCGGTGTATACGATGACACCAGCAGTATCAGTGTGTCTGGTAAGGCAAACCAGCCGATATATAATCGACAATGCCGTATAATACATGTATACAGCCAGTTTAATGGAAATAAATAACCTAGAAAAGATGCATCCGCTAGAAATATTCGATCCGAATCTATTACATTTCATCCTAACCATCTGACAGTGTGAGTGAGTGGCACAAAACAAAAACCAAAAACAAAATGAAATTGGAATTGATGAAAAGAGAAAACTGTGCCAAAACAATAGTCATTGGTATGTTGGGGTTCGATTCGTTCATTATAGTCAAGAAATAAAACAAATTTTTTTCACCCAATTTTGCTAAAATATTGATGGGCGTATAGAAATGGGCGGCTAGTGGTAAAATGCATTCATATTATGAAACGGAATAAGCCACTTGACATTGATCCCAAATCTTAATGTTTGTGTGTGTGTGTGTGTGTGTGTATTGGAAATTGTATCATAAAAAGCCGCAGAGACAAAGAATAAATAATCAATGAATCGAATGTGTGTGTGTGTATGTGTTGTGGGTAGTGCACAAAACCGATAACTAATCTTTGAAGACCATCATTGGATTTTATAACAAAAAAAATAGACAAACAAAAGGCAACCACAAGATATAAAAGATGGCTCCACACACATTAGACGTCATCAGACGGATAGAGAATTTTTTTTATTCTATCCTATTCTATAGAAACTACGATTTGATTATCACCAATTTTAATCATCATTATTATTTCAATCGAAATTAACAAAGAGAAACATATTACATAGCCGAAACGGATGGAGAAAATTTAATTTCAATCAATTTTTTCGTATGAACAGAAAAAAAACCTGAAGGCAACAAATTACTGATAGGACGCCTATCGCCATACAATTCTGAACTTTAATAATTCTGGTAGATGAATGATGTTTTTTATCAAAAAAAAAAAAAAAAAAAAATTTTTTTCATTTAAAAAATTGATGTGTATATGAGTTTAAACATTTTCTTCTTACTAAAAGCAAAATTTTTTCACTTTCTTTTTTTTTTGTTATTTATTTATCGAAAATTGAATTTAAAAACATTGATGGCAGCCATATTGAGCATTCGGCACCAAAAAAAAAAAAATCACACTTTATGGGGATGCAAACAATAACCAACATTATCATTGTCATACATTGATCTTGAATCGATCTGATCGATGATTGTTAAAGATTGTCTCTGTATGTTTGTGAGTGTGTGGGTGTGTGAACATTATTCTATTGACACCACCAACTAAATTGTTAATTGCCATTACCAAACAAAAAAAGCAACCAGACCGACTTTTTTTTCTTAACATCGAAAATTGTGAATCGAATTTCGTGAATGAATTTGAGCGGACTACATCATCATCATCGTATTAAGTCAATTCTAGGGCCAAAATAAAGTAAAAAAAAATAGTAATCAAATACAATAAAGAAGATTAAATTTTTTTAGTGAATGAAACTTTTGCTTATGCGTGTCCGTATCGTAAGTACGTGTGTGTGTGTGTGTGAGTAAATGGAAAAATTCAATGAATGAATGAATGAGAAAAAAAAGACGACTACAAAATATCGTGATGCGTCAATGGTTGCTTATTTTTTTTTTTTTTTTTTTTTAAAATGTACAGGAACTAATGCTTTAGCATCATCATCATATAAATTATTTTTCGTTCATTTCGTTTCAAGCAAATACTACTACACATCAAATTGTTGTGAAAGCTACCAAATTAACGACAAGTCAATACACAAAACACAATAGTATATAGATTTGTCATTGCATACATTAAATACTGGGCCCAATGAAAACGAAGGCAAAACTACGATAATACCACAATACCATTATTTGCCTGTTGTTCACATGGCGTCTATCTTAATATGAAATTTTTTGGCCTATGTTTACTGCTGCTGAATTGCTAACTATAAATTGGAATTGAGAATTTGCGCCTTTTCGGAATGAAAAGAAATTTTTCCTTTCGTTCCTATAGTTTTTAGTTTGCAGTTTTCGCCACAATAAACAAGCTGCAATTATAATAAGACCATAGAGAGAGAGAGAAAGAGCTTTCTTAATAGCATTAATTGCTCAATATGAGACCAGTATTGCTATCTCGTCTAGTTGTCTATCCTGTTTCATAAAAAACGCAACCATTTATACTCTATATTCTCTATGAAACAGAATCAAAATTTCAATATTACTATTAACCATATGATAGGCGACAAATAATTAGTTTTCATTGATCTGATTGAGTTTAAATGTTTGTTAAAAACCACAAGCCGTTACCGCCGAACAAAGCCCCGTTGAAATAAACATGAATTAAACCATATGCACTATAAGCAAGTCATTAGATTCTAATGAAACCAACAGACATCGAAACAATTCATCTATTCAAACATATAGATCAATGGTATCCAACTTTTTTTTAAATTGTGAATCGACAAATGCCGACCAACGGTTGGAAATCAATGATCTAAATCACAAAGCCAATAGCGATATAACATTATATAATGGACGATTGGCAAAATAAAAACGGCGACTAATGACAATGCCGAGAGATAAATTTCATAGAAAAAAAACACATACAGAAACAACAACAAAATTCATAGTCGTTGGTATGATATACGGAAATTCGAAATAAATTTTCCAACCAAATAATACATACATACATTGTACATTCATCGCCCATCATGTCGTTCACATGAAAAAGTGTGAACCAAAAGAAAAAAAAATGTCATTGAATGGTAATAGGCAACACAGACATGTATATATACAAACACAACAAAAATGGAACAAATATTAAAAATGACAAATTACATCAACCATATGACACATGAACAAATTACTCAATTTTTTTATATTTGATTTATCCATACCACAATATATATTTGGTTTGTCTGCATGAATGATACATCTAAGACATTGACGGAAATAGGAACATGGCCATCAAAACCAAGTCGTAATAGATCACCAATGAGGAGGGGATTGATGTATAAATGTGTGTACATATGACAAGTTACATAATGGTTTCGAATTGATTTGAAATAAATTTTAAAAAATCGGTTCGATGAGCGATTCAATGATTGCTAAATTAAAATCATTCTCGTTACACACACACACACACACACACACATACAGCCAGATCGATATCTATGATATGACGATTGGCAGTAACAAGTCATTCTTAATGTTCAATGTCGATCAATTCAATAAGTATACGATAACAATGTTGAAAACACACACACATTTATATACCTTGATCAACTGGAAGATTGAATCGATTTCCTTAATCGTCCAAATGGTTAAAACAAATGACAAAAGAAATGCTTGATTTAAGTTAGCCTCGATTTAGAGTATATAAATGAATTCGATTCATATCAACAAACATCATTCATCATTCAAACATAGTTTCGAATTGTCAAATCAAATTCAGATTTTGACAATTCGAAATCTATTACGGTGAAAATGGTAAGTGATTAATTCCCGTTTGGCAAACAAACATAGTTTGTTTCTATTATTTATCCAATTATATATGTTTACATAGACAACCCGATTGGGTGTCCTGACCCTGGTGGTCATTTTCACCTGGATACATTGGATCGAATGCCGTGGATTAACATCGCTAGATTCGGTGGATAGTACCGCGCTCATTCAAACCATCAATAAAAATGGTCCTGATTCGATAATGCCGATGGCATCGGAAGTTGGTACATTATTAGCATCACCAAACGGTGGAGGTTATATGCTTGATGGTTATGGCAAAAAGAAATATAAAAAGAAGAAAAAGAAAAAAAAGAAAAAAAAATACAAGAAAAAGAAAAAGAAGAAATATAAGAAGAAAAAGAAGAAGAAGTATAAGAAAAAGAAAAAGAAGAAGAAGAAAAAGAAATATAAGAAAAAGAAGAAAAAATATTGAGCTCAACTAAATGATGATGACCAAAAAACGGTAATATCATTGATGAAGCTCAAATTTGGCCACTTGAACCGAACGTTTGGCTTATATATTTATTTTATATTTATTGAATCCTGTAATCATTCATTTGTAATGAAAATGCCTTTAAATAAAATCTAACCTTTCAAAAAAAGATAATCAAAATTTTCGATTTGTCAGAAGTTGGATAAATGTTATCTATTGATTAAATGGATTGTTTGTTTCGAATCTGGACACTGTGTTATTGTGTTTTACATACACAGCAAACAAAAATTTTCGTTTCAATCGACCGTTGCTTACTTTCATTTTTCATTCGAATTAAAACTGGGAACAGATTGATGTTCACATAACGAATGTATAGACATTCGTTCAAATAACTTTTTTTTTGGCACAATACAACTAAAACATTTTGCTCCAAATGATTGATGAATGATATCAATGCATTAAATGCAAGGAAACATCCGACTAGAGAAGCCAAAATCTTTGTAAAGAAAAACCAAGCGATGTATGCTGTGTGTGTATGTGCGAGTTTGTAGAAATATTATTACTAATAATATGTACGTGCTTTGTATCGGTGTATTTGAAATTCTCACCACACAATAGGAAACGAAAGAAAACAAAAAATATATTTGATTGAAGCCATGAAGTATCCAGATGTAAAAGCTAATTGAATCTATCGATTGGAAACTTGACTTTATTTTTTTTTATGTTAAATTATAGCAATGTGGATACAATATAGACCAGGCATTGGTAACTGTCAATAATCATCATACAAGGTTATTATCACAAAACTCAACTGTTCAATGAAGCAATACAGAAATGAAAATAAAAACTACATTAAATCATTTCTCATCAATCTAATCGATATGAATGATGACAAAATGAAATCAATTCTGATGGAAGGAAACAAAATTCACCATTCAGAATTTGATACAAACAGAATATGCATATATATGCATAGATTGAGATGATCGACATATATGATGAAATCAAATGAATGCTAGTTTTCGTTCAAAATAGCAAATGCTAACCACAGGGTGTGTATGTTTCTGTGTTTGGGGAGTGTTAAGTCTTTGCCAAAGAAAAAGATCGATGATGAGCAAGAACTTTCAAGTCGTATGTAGGATACGTAGATTTTCATCGATCGTTAGTAACGGTGGAGCCATTTTCATCTTAAATGCTTGAAAACTGTTGCTGTTTGTTTGATGTATTTTTTCTCTACTTTTTAATGGTGCCCGAAACAAACCAGTGGTGTCATTGTGAATACATCCAAATGGATCATACAAAATGGAATATACAATTATTGATCACAATCCATTTGCTCACAGTGTTTATGTTGTCAACAGCATCAACAATTGAATATGGCTTACATACAGAGAATGGTAGCTTCAGTTGTGACAGTCACAATGAATATCAATGCTTAACATCATTCGAATGCATACCGAAATCATGGCGTTGTGATCAGATTGTTGATTGCCGTGATGGTTCTGATGAATGGTTACAATCAGATTTTAATCTATTCGACGAGGATGTCGTTCTCGATGATCAAGTATTCAAATCTTATGAAGGATTAATATTGGCTAATGATCATAGCGATACCAATCATCATAATGATGATGATGGATCACAATCTGGCCAAAGTGCTGCGACCATTACAATCACTGATGAATGGTGTCAACCATGTGGTGGTTATGATCATCATGGTCGTGATGAAGAAATTTTTCAATGTCAACGATCAGGTGAATGTATCCCACGTGGTTGGATGTGCGATGGCCAACCGGATTGTGGTAAATACTCTAATCATAATGGTGGACAAGACGAAAGTGATGAATCAGATGACGTTTGCTACGGAAAAATCAATGAAAGACGGCTGAAATTATTGAATTCAAACGATTTCCAGTGGAAATGGAATCGAACGAAATCACTTTCAATTGTACATTTCAATCAAACACATATAAGACAGATAGCTCTCGAATATTGGTCGCACAATTCGACAATAAAACGAACACCTCTTATTCATTATGGCGAACATACAACAACAACAGGTTGGCCGATTAGAGGACCAGATTTCTGTTGGATTGAACGACAATCTATCGATTGCCTAAGATTTGGATCATCATCAGAACCATCGAGATTATTATTGCCTACATATGTAGATGCTAATCAGATTGATCGAATCGCCCATGATTGGCAACGAAATTCATGGTATCTATTAGATCGAACGAATGAATTGCTCTACCAATGTGACATCAGCAAATGTATCGTACGAGTAGATCACCGAATTTTAAGTAGGCCATTGGATTTACAATACGATTCAAATAAAGGATTTGTGTTTATATCAAGACAAGGAGATCGAGTGCAACGACCAAGTCAATTATTATCACCTGCAATTATACGATTTCAAATAAATAATAATGATGGTGATGATCGATATAAACAAATGAAACGAATCGTTAGTATTTCTATAGTCGAACCAAAATATCTAGCATTAGATCATGTTAAACAGCGTTTATATTGGATCGATACTAAATTAGGTAAGCAAGAAATAACTTGACATAATTGTTGACTAAGTTGGCGAAAATTTCATATAGATCTTCTTCAATCAGTCGATTATGACGGTAATAAACGATACAGATTCAAAATCGAACATACTGGATCAATAATGTCTTCGGGTAGATATACAATGGAAAGCTGGTTACAGATGGCATCCATGGCTATGATTGCCAATGATAATTCACTCTATTTGTTGAGTCGAAATGAAACATCTAAGAAAACGATACATCAAAAGATAACACCCACTAATGCGAGCAATATAAAAATACCTTTAAAATCAAACAGCACAACACCCATGAAAAATACAATTATAACATTGACTTTGACGTTGATCACGATGGATGAGAATGATGGTCAGATGATGATTATGAGACAAAGCGATCAAAGTGTATACGGTGATATGATGATGATTTATTCAACACTGATAAGCACAACACAGAAACAGAAAAATCAAAATGTAACCGAATTGATGATTTCGAATAATGATCAAAACTTTAAAGCTCATTATGATCCAGTTCTCATATATTCTCGTTCACAGCCAGGATTAATACAATTTAGACAAATAGCTTATGCCCGAAAATCCAATGAGCAAGGTAACAACGACAATACAACTATTAATGCGTCGCCAATCACATTTAGTCGATCGCCCACTACATTCGATATTGATCCATTCGATAACAATATTTATTATCTTGACGATTTCAAAACAAATCTTCTGTATGAGGATCTTAGCCAACGTATTACGCAATCATTATCATCAATTGAAGAGATAAGTCACATGAATCGAACCAAAAGAATCGATTTGAAATTTTTCACTCCGACAACAACAAACCATCCTATACAAATCGAAACAATTTCATTTGATTGGTGTAATTACAATGTTTATCTACTTGAATCATCTGCTATTTCGGTGATCAATTTCGTTGCTGAATCCGAGAGGCAAGTTTGGCGAAAAATTCTTATCAATAATCTTATTGAGCCAAGAGCCTTGGTTTTAGATTCGAAACGTGGTCTCATGTTTTTCACTGCTACAATTATGACTGATAATAAGGAAAGAGATGATGATACCATGATTACAACGTTGTATCCATATGCTATACGTAAGGCCAACATGGATGGAACACAGGTGACCATTTTTGGAGAACATTTGGATCGTTCCACTAGTTATGTTAGTTCATTAGCCATTGATATTGATCAGGCATTACTTTATTGGACTGATACAGGCGAAAAGACAATTAATCGAATGAATTATCTGACAGAGAATATGCCGAGACGAGAACGAATATGGCAATCATCGCGCATTAATATAGCCAATTCACTGGTTTATTTTAACAATACTTTGTTCTGGATTGAAATTCAACATGGCTCCATTCAACAATTTGATTTAAAAACTAATCTTAGCCATTTCATACACGAAGAACGTGGACCCTTATTTCAACTCAAGGTATGGCTTCCAAAACATAATGATACTCGGTCAGAGGTATGTCTTGGTGGTAGAATCGGAAAAAGAAAACACAGTTGCCAACAGCTAACATTACGAACATCTGGTAATCGTCATTCGATATGTGCATGCGATGATCACTATGAATCTGTTGATAACGGAAATTGTCGGCAATTATCAGTTGAACAATTGTCGAAGAAGTTTTGCACAGCTAGTCAAGTTTATTTGAGTAGGGGCAGAAGATGCGTTCAAGAGAAGCAAGAAAATTCCATTCGAAAACCAAAAAGTCACCGATCTCGTCCCGTTGGGCCAGTAGAAGGTTAGTTTTCATAAAGTGTATAAAATAACAAATGGTGAAAGTTTGTAATGCTTGAGAATGTGCTTAAAATATAAATGTTGAATGCTGTATTGCTGATAAATATTCGATTAATGAGAGTAAAGGCTAACCTGTAAATTATCCAAAAGGCGAACCAACCAAAGACGACAGTGATGATGGAGACGCTAGCGATGAACATGGAACGGAGAAGAAACAATGCCACGAGAAGGAATTTCAATGTGACAATGGGCAACGATGTATACCATATCATTGGCTTTGCGATGGTCACAAAGATTGCCACGATCAAACCGATGAAAGAACAATTTGTCAGGCTATATCACCACCAGATTTCCATTGTCCGGATGGATATTTCCAGTGTCGAAAACGGCCATTGTGTATACCACAAGAATGGCGTTGTGATCATCGTTCTGATTGTGGTGATGATGATCATAGTGATGAGCAAAATTGTAATCATCACTGAACTTGTCTACATGCGGATATTAATTAAAAAAATAAACGAAAAGATCTCATCATTCGATAAACAGTTGTTTTACCTCTGATTCGATATTATTTTTTAATGATTTGGGTTTTTACGAATAAAATTCCTTAAAATATATCAACGACAAACTAGCTGATTGACTGATGATCTTGAGCACTTCAGACTATTATTTCCTGTAATTGTTTTTCATTCATGTGATAAAAATGTAAGAAAACGTTATTGCATCTATGAATAGTGATTCAAAAATTGATTTTACAAAATTCTATGCTTCTGCCCGACGTCCCGATGATTACTTCATAAAGATCGTTAGAAGTAGTGGCAATCGCCCGCTTGGCAAAACATTTTGTTTGTCTTTCTGTGAGAAAATATTGCTCACAATACACCATCATCGCGATTGACGATCATTCAAACAAAGAAAAAAAATATTTGGTACTTTAAAATCATCATTTGTAGAATTTATAATTTTTTCATATATTGATATCTTGTTGAATCGTTGAAATTGCTTGATAAAAAAAATGGTCGAACTTGATTATGATAGAGTTTTAGAAGAATTGATAAGTAAGTGAGATGGTTTTTCTAAATTCTTTTTAATATTTTTGTCTTTATCCATTCAATCAAAGTTCAAGCCAAAAATCCCGATCCTGGCAATCCATTCCCAGAGATTCTTGAACATTACCTTCGAACCATAGCCAAAACTGGTGATACAATGTTAGTACTATGATGATGACTTGATTGTTTGTTTTATTCATAAAATTGATTTATAAACAGATTTCCATGGAGCAAAGTAAAGCCGTTCATACGTCGTAAAATGGAAATGGTCATGGAAAGTTTTTATCAAAAATATCCTCTTAATGAATCACAACTTCGTGTGCCTAATTGTGATCCATTCGATTATGATGGCATCAAGAAGAACATCCTGCAAGGTATGGATTGGTTCTGTGCAGCTCCGTTCACCATACAGCGAATTTGCGAATTACTAATCGAGCCATATCGTCACTATACACGGACCGATAAATTCATGCGAGGCATCGAAAAAAATGTTCTTGTTGTTTCTACCATACAGCCACAGCCGAATAAATACTCAACGCCCGAAACGTAACTTTACCATAATGAAATTATCGTTAAATTAATCATTAATCATTTCTTTCCGTTTAGGATTGAAAAACAGCCCACATTTCGTGATCTATATCCTCAATTCTCTCTTTCACCATCAATCTCTCGAAGTCGTTCATCATCGATCTCATCAATTCTATCCAATCGTAGCAGTAGTGGAAATATTGGTCTCATTGGTGGACTTACCTCAGGTCATTCGTCGCCACCACCAATCATTTTGGCCAATTCATCAACATCGTCCACATCATCTTCATCATCTTCGTCTTCATCATCATCTTCTTCGTCATCACCTGGATCAACCTCCCCCTCTTCATCATCATTGACTTCAATGCAAGCGACCGTAACTGCGACTACCACATCCAGCATGACCAATGGATTCGATCATCTGGTTCACCATCATGCCGTCACTCATCACCAACCGCATCAACTTCATTCACCACAACCAAATGGAACTTCTCCATTCGATGCTCAAAATCCATATTCGTTGGCACATTTATCCAGTTCTAACGGTGGCCAAACTCCATCATCTTCGTCGTCAACATCTGCATTTTACGATACAACATCTAGTTTGTCATCGGATCAACAACAGCACACTAGTAGTAGTTATGAATCGGAAACCAACGAAAACAATTCGAATACCACAGCTCCATTACAACAATTGGACAGCTTTACCAGTGTATTTGTAGCTTCAAGTTATCTTACATCGAACAATCATCCGAATAGTACTCAAACAAATAATCGATCACCGCTGGCCGCTTCTTCTGCTCAGAATCGCGAGTGGAACAGTTCTCAACAAGAGCACATTTCATCATCATCATCTTCATCATCTTCGTCTGACGAATCATCTGCCGGTGACGAGAACGAGAACATCGATGTTGTCGTCGATGATGATTTCGATCATAGCCATCATCATCATGACAATCATCACCAACATGATGATGATACACAGACGACCGAAGATCATAATGATGATGGATCAGTCTTTCAAAATCGCTCGGATGCCAGCATTTTATCCACAGATGACATTAGCAACACTGCTGATGATCATAGTCAAAGTAATCTGGAATCTACGAATCAAGAATCTGAGAACAGTGATTCAGACTCTAAATGCAATGAATTCATCGATGATAATGATGATGATCAATTAAATTCCATTCCAAAATCTACCACTAAGCAATCATCAATCGACGATGACCATAAACAACCAACTGATAATGAGGAGACTTGTAATACTGAAAAACAGAAAGAAGGGGAAAGCACTACTTCTAGAACTGATGAAAAAACAGATGTCGATCATGATCAACTTGTTGATGATGATATCGACAAGGAATCTAACAAAAAATTAAAACTTGATCAAGAAATCAAGGAATCAAATCAACAATTTAAGCAGGAAAAAGAGGCTGTTATTGTTCCGGTCAGTGATTCGAGCATCGATGGTGCTAGAGAATATAAATCGACTGAACAACCAGAATTACCGATGGATATGGCCCAGAATGGATCCACGGCCATTTTAATCAATGAAAGCCTACCAAACAACTCTCATGTTGCTGAAGATGAACAAATGTCTTCGATTATCGTTATCGAACAATCCATGGAACAGGAATCAATTTCTATGACTGTGGATAAGATGGCCGATGAAGACATGGTCGTCGTTGTCGGCAGTGGTGGCCAACAACAGCCAATGAATGTTGATATTACGAATCAACAACAGTCTCAACAATCTGACGATCAATTAATGTCAGAGCCAATGGAGCAGGAATAAATCCATTGTATACACACATTAACGAATAATTGGATTTTATGCATTTTGGTTTAACAATCAATTTTACAACCTCATCAACATAATCGACGTACATGTATCATTTGAACAAAGAATTGCTATGAAATTGCTACCAGTAGTATTTTTAAAAAATTAATTTCATTAAACAATATTTAAATAAAATATTTCTTTTTCAGTTACAATGGATTATTGTTATTGTCAATTGTATCCTCTCCTACTTTGATGACCACTTTGCATCCTTCGCCCTTGAATCCAGTTTCGAATGCTTTGGCCGCCTCTTTCAACGTAAACCTATGAGTCACTAATTTAGATAAGTTTACCTTTTTTTGTGCAGCCAATTCGATGGCCAACGGAAAACAGCCTTTAGATCTATGAACACTTTTGATGATGACTTCACGATTAGCTGCATCAGCAATGGGCAACAGAATTTCGGTTGGCCCCATACCGACCAACACGCAAGTTCCATTAGCTTTGGTAGCACGAAATGCAAGACGAAAATTCTTTTCAATACCCGAACATTCATAGCATTTGTTGGGTAAATCTCCTTCGAAGCGTTTACGGATTTCAGCTATGGTTTGCTCTTCACTCCATGATCGATCAACCAGAATGGTTTCATCGGCTCCTAAATCCTTGGCCATTGCTAATCGATCTTCGCGAATGTCAGTGATCACTGTACGAGTACAGCCATAAACTTTTGCCATCATGACCATTAACAAACCTATTGGACCTGAGCCCAGAATCAACATTCGATCACCAACAGTAAGATCACCACGTTTGGCAGCATATACAGCAATGGTCAACGGTTCAATTAATGCACCTTCTTCGGCCGATACATTACCAGGAATTTTGTAAACAAAATCCTCATGATGATTGTAATAATAAGTGAGACTACCATTATACGGTGGACAAGTGGTAGTAGCTACAATACAGAGATTGTATTCTTGTCGAAGACAATATTCACACTGACGACATGTGATCGATGGCTCATAACATACACGATCACCTGGCTTAAATTTTGTCACTTTAGATCCGATAGCCACAACTTGTCCAGATGCTTCATGACCCAAAACGATTGGTGATGTTACTTTGATGTTTCCCAAGGCCATATCATGCATATAATGCAGATCCGAACCACAAATTCCCGTTGACAATGAACGTATTAAAACCTCTGTAAAATTATAATGATGAAATTTTCATTTTTATATTTCATAATAATTTCTTTACCATTTGGACCAGGTTCAGGTGGATTAGGGTGTGGAGACAAACGAGCTTGCATCTTATCATACAAGATGAATGCTTCATTTTTAAATCCTTCTGGTATGGCAGCACTCATGATCACTTAAAATTATGATGATTGATATTGGATTATGGAAAAACAATGCCAAATGAATACGATCACAAATATGGTGTGAATTAATAATATAATATATTCAACGATATAATGAGCTGCTTTTATACCGAATCAAAATATCAAATGAAATTGATAATCATTATCTATATCTGCATTCCATCCGTTATTAACATGTTTCGACGCCAAATATGTGAGATCCTAATCAATATGGCATATTAATCGTTATCGATAAATAATTAGCTTGTAAATCATGTCTGGTGAGCGTATCAATAAATCTTAATGTTAATGTTGATTCATTATCATTATCGAACCATCGCCTAGATCCAATGATCAATTGTTCATAAACTTGTCAGCGATTCTTAAACTATTTTTCCTACCGTATTGATTAACAGGAAATTTAGCCACTGAGAATCGATTGTCGAACACTGTCATTCGATTAAATAAAATGTCAATCAACAAGTTAAGCTTGTCAACAAGATGTGATAACACCACATTCATATATTTTCATGGTCATTTTCCTTTGTAAGTAATATACAACCAAAATGTTTGAAATTCATGTTAGCAACATACTATGGTAATAAAATCAGTCACACACCAATCTTCTTTATCATATGTTTTAGTAGTAAAAAATCTATTTGTGATTTGAATTTCGCGCGCTTTTTCGAAAAAACGGCCGTTTTACAATTTATGATGTTTCAAATTGATTTTAATGCTAAAAAATGGAATTTTTTTTTTCGTAAATATTTACAAAATGTTTTGTGATTAAAAAAATTGCAACTTTCATACAAATTTTTGTGGCTCTGAAAAGAGCCGTTTTATGATTATATGAAAATATAAATAGATAATGGAATGAAATTTACTTCTTTGCCTTCTTCGATGTTGGTTTTTTGGCTGCTACTTTTTTCGGTGATTTAGCCGGTTTCGATGCTGCTTTTTTCTTTTCTGCTTTAGGTTTACTAGCCTTAGTTGGTTTGGCTGTCTTTTTCGGTGTGCTTGGCTTGTCTTTTTTGACGGCTGCAGATTTGGCTTTTGGTGCCTTTTCCTTTTCCATCTTCACTTTTTTTTCGCCAGCTGATTTCGATGGTTTGGTTACTTTTGGAACTTTTGATTTCGGTGATTTTGGTTTCACCGATTTTGGCTTTGATACTTTTTTCGGTTTATCACCTTCACCTTTGGCCGATTTGTTCAATTTGAACGATCCACTAGCACCTCTGCCTTTAGCTTGAACCAATTCACCTTTGACCACTCCAGATTTAAGATATTTTCGGATAAACGGGGTGATTTTTTCGATATCAACGGTGTTGTGGGCCTGGATATACTTTTTGATGGCTTGTACGGATGATCCATTACGGTCCTTCAATTCTTTAATGGCCGATATCACCATGTATGCAACTGGTGGATGATTGGGCTTAACTTTTGGTTTCTTTTCGCCCTTTGGTGCTTTTGGCTTGACAGCTTTGGCTTTTTTTGGCTCGCTAGCCTGAGCAGCTTGAGTTGCTTCAGCTTCGGTCATTGTTGTTGTTGTTTCGAGAAAAATAGTGAGAGAAATTCACGACGTAAAACATTAAACGACACTAACCAAATTGATGATTCAACTTGCTTCAACTTGCTTTTTTATACTCGACCATCAGAACAAAGCTATACTCGAAGGCGGAGCATGAAAAGAGCGCGAAATTTAAATTTGGAGGGAAAATCAGTGGGAGGGATTTATTTTTCTAATACTCATCAAATCGAATGTTCGTTTTTGTTTTCAAACCAGAACGTGAAACTCAAAAAGATTGTAAACATGAATGGTATCTATTATACAAATTCTATGTCAAAATGGCCAGAAAAAATCTTATTTTAAAACAATATGATGATCATTTATCTTTTCAATTTCCTTTTCCGTGTTCAAATGCTCACCAGAATAGTTGAAATTGAATTTGACAAATTGACAAAAATATTTATCAATTTCTAACGATAAATATCAAGGCACTTATACTTGTGTTTGATATTCAGCTATTAATTCCAAATTTACCAGTTTATTTTCATAATAAAATTCATAGAATCAGATATTTTTTTACAATACAAAAATTTATTATTCATAAACAAAAATATTAAAAAAAAGCTCTTAATCTAAATTACAATTGTGGCCCTGAAAAGGACCGTTTTTGATCGATATAGATGAGTATGAAATGAATGGATGAATGCAAATTGTAAAATGATGTAAAACAGAATTAACCACCAAAACCATACAAAGTACGTCCTTGACGTTTCAAAGCATAAACAACATCCATGGCAGTGACTGTTTTACGTTTTGCATGTTCAGTGTATGTAACAGCATCACGGATAACATTTTCGAGAAAAACTTTGAGGACACCTCGGGTTTCTTCGTAGATCAAGCCAGAGATACGTTTTACACCACCACGACGAGCCAAACGACGGATAGCTGGTTTTGTGATACCTTGGATATTATCACGAAGAACTTTACGATGACGTTTAGCGCCACCTTTTCCGAGACCTTTACCACCTTTTCCACGGCCAGACATGATTTTCGAGAGTTTGTCAAAAAAAAAATTGAAGTAAACACGAAATGCAAGAGATTGCGAGTGGAAGATTGGATTGCCAAAATTGTAATTTATATACTCATAGAGTAGAGCTCGAGTGAACTCAGTCTTGTCGTAGCGCATGTCAAAACGGTGTCGATTTTCGCGCGAAAACTGCATGGTGATAGCAAAGGTTGTTTTTTTTGTAACACACAAAAGGAATATTTGATTTCTATCAAAGTTTGCGCCAAAAAAACTAGCATTGCTTCATACTAGCAAAACAAAATAAAATCTGGCCTGGTCTGGCATGACAAAAAAAAACGGTTTTTTTTCTTTGGATTAACTTTCTAAATAAAAAATAAATCAAACTGCAAAAACCAATGGAATCATGTTTCGTTTGTCGTCCTTTATTGCATTGAAATAAACTCGAGAAATCGGTTTCTATTTTCATAATCTTTGACTCACTCAATTCACATGGTAAACTTTTTTCAAATAAGCTCATTTTCCAAATTCTAGGCCCAATTCCAAATGTTATTAAGAAACGAAATTTTTTTTAAATGATTTTATTCAAATGACAAAATGATAAATAACAAAGATTAAAAAATGCTCGAATCTCAATTCGATAAAAATGTGGTCCTAAAAAGGACCGTTTGTATATGAATGATGGATTAAATTAGAATGAAAATGGATAGATTTATGCACGTTCACCACGAATTCGGCGAGCCAATTGAATATCTTTCGGCATAATAGTAACTCGTTTTGCATGGATAGCACACAAGTTAGTATCTTCGAATAAACCAACAAGATAGGCTTCCGAAGCTTCTTGCAATGCCATTACAGCAGATGATTGAAATCGAAGATCAGTCTTGAAATCTTGAGCAATTTCACGAACTAATCGTTGAAATGGCAATTTACGGATAAGCAATTCAGTCGATTTTTGGTATCGACGAATTTCTCGAAGAGCAACAGTACCTGGACGATAACGATGGGGTTTTTTCACACCACCAGTAGCTGGAGCCGATTTACGAGCAGCTTTGGTTGCCAATTGTTTTCTTGGTGCCTTACCACCAGTAGATTTACGAGCTGTTTGTTTTGTACGAGCCATTTTGATTTATTTTGTTTTCGATCTGAAAATACGAACGTATCGAATACCAATCAACAAATGAGTAACGAGACTTGGTGTGAATCGCTTTTTTATAGTCGACCATCAGAACAAGACAAAACTCGAAGGCGGAGCATGAAAAGAGCGCGAAATTTAAGTTTGGAGGGAAAATCAGTGGGCGGGATTTATATCGATATTTTTTAATTCTCATCAATTTTTTATTTATTGAAAATTGAGATATTTCTAATTTCCGGTAAAGATAAACCAAATGAAAGCAATGATGTAAAATGTCAAATTTCTATGGTCATTGGTCCATGATGTGTGTGTGCTCAATACATTTAATAAAATGATTCTCGCTTGATCACACAAGTCATCATGATACAATTGTTTTTTCATTTCAGCCGTTATATTCTCCATTCATCTTTATTTGCCCGTTAATTTATAATCATTATTTTACACACTCGGTTTGTTTTTCAAAAATTCGAAATAGAAATTTGCTTCATGGAATTAATTACATACGTAGTGTATACAAAAAAAATCATTGACATGAAATGTTATGTTTCAATAACTTTGTCATCATTTATTTCTTTTCATTATCGTCATGATTAAAAATCAAAATTAATAACTCTATTTAAATTTAAATGTATTTTATTTTTTGAAAGAGTTTACAGCAAAAAAAACTGGAATATTCATATTCATATTTGACGCGATCAAGCATCATTCGACTTTTATTGATGTCTAGCACCAGATTTTGAACTGATTTTATCCATTTGTTTTGTTTCTCTCTAACTAATGTTAATTGAGTGATCAAACTTTTGTGGAAATTTTTGATTTCAGCACAAAAATTCAATTAGGAAAAATTATTTTCAACAATCAAGCAAAACAATTCTAAATAAGGCGCGTCAATTTTAATTCTATTTTGATTCGTGTGACTCTTGTGAGTAAATATAGTTTTAACATAAATCATCCTTATATTTTTATTTTTTTGGTTGTTGCAATTGAATCTAGTGAGTTTTTGGTAAGAATTCGTCATGTCAATTTTAAATCTTTTTGTTTGTATATATTATTTATTAGATTTAATGTTTAAATTCTTTCCAAGAAATATTTACTAATACATTGCCTTTTTCCATTTAGATTGGTTGGTTAGATTTTCAAAGAAAAAATGGATATCGAACGAAATCGTCATAACCATTCAAATGGATTAAGCAGTACTTCGTACAAATGTTTATGTCAATTTATTCGCCTTGCCCGATATTTTCCATTTGCATTGATATTTTCACTTTATATCTGGGGAATATATGTCTATATGTACTTTATAATATACCAATATTATACACAAATCTGGGCTCAAGCATTGTTGGTCACTTTTTTCATCCCAATCTATCTGCTTTCATTTATCTCATACATAAAATGTGTATTTTCTGCTCATCGACCAATCGCTTCAGAATTTGCTATAACTGACGTGATGCGATTGAATCAAATGACCGAAGATGAACGTAATCAAAATTTTGAATCATTAATTCAGGCTAGAAATTTGCCAATATTTACTAGAGCATACAATGGTCATGTTCGTTTTTGTCCAAAATGTTTGGTATTGAAACCAGATAGAGCACATCATTGTTCGACTTGTGGAAAATGTATATGCAAAATGGATCATCACTGCCATTGGGTCAGCAACTGTGTTGCATTCGACAATTACAAATATTTCATACTATTTCTTTTCTATACATCAATTACTTGTCTATATGTCGTATTCAGCTCTGTCAATTTATTCCTCAAATTCTGGAAAGATGAATCATATCCTGGAAAATTTCAAGTATTTTTCCTGGTACTTTTCTGTTTCATTTTTTCCATGAGCATTTTGATTTTGTTGACCTATCATATCTATTTGGTATGCAAGAATGTTACCACATTGGAATCATACCAAACTCCACGATTCAAGCAATATGAATATGATTATTATCGTTTTAATCTTGGATGTAAACGTAATCTAACATCAGTGTTTGGCGATAACAAATTATATTGGTTTTTACCTATCTATAATAGCTTGGGTGATGGTCATTATTATCAATTACCATTGATCCCGGGCATGTTTGATAAATCAAATTCATTGACAGTTTGTGATGTGACCAGTTCAAACTATCCACAAGCTCTTTTACAACCACAGCCACCACCGCCATTTCAACATCCAATACATTCACAATCATCATCATCAAATAATATTTAATCAATTCATAACTGCAATTAATTAATCACACAAAACGTTGATGAATATTGATTTAAAAAATTATTTATTATAATATTACCATGCAAACACTACTCTCATTCACACACCACTCACACATAAATATAACAGGCAATAAGCAAAAAAAAACAGCATGTAATTTTCAATCTTGTATTGCAATCCGATTTTTTCCATCAATCAATAAATGATAACACATCAGAAAAGACAAAAATATATTTCGAATGAAAATAATTTTTTTTTTTTTTTGATCTACTGATGTATATTATGATCATTTTTTTCTGATGTTTTCTAATGATAAATTATTGTAAATTGATACAAAAAAAATGGCTTGACAATTTGTACCAAATTGTGCATAAGATGGCATATAATATGATTTTAAGAATTTTTTTCTCATTTTTGTTTGTTATTTCTTTTTGTTATCAATCTGTGAACAGTCTTTTTTGATGAATTTTATTGTAATTCTTAATTTTTTTGGAGCTCAATAATTTGAATATGAGCCTTTTGATGATTTTTTTTTTAGTTTAAAAAATTTACTTGAAAAATTTCCAATTTTTTTGCTTTATAGTTTAATTTAATTCAATTATGAATTTTAACGCTGGTCGCTTTTTTTTGATTTTAAAATTGAATATAAAAAATTTTCCATTTAATTCGATCAAATAAATTGTTTTATTATTCAATTGAAAAATATTTTGATTATTCATTTCAATATTGATTCCAATGTCCTTTGATTATATGGAATGCATCAACCATAGCTCCATTCTGAATATTACAAAAACAAATTTAACAATAAAAATAAAAGATTCATATATCATATGGCTTGAATATTACCGAAGTAGTATCACGTTGTCTAAAACGAATATGTGTCTTATTAAGAATTGACATCTCTGTGATGCCATAATTCGAAATACGTTTAGCACTCCATGGTTTTGGATTAGCAATAAATGGATCAATGTTTTCGGGACATCCAGCTGAACCAACTAAAACATGTACTGGCGCTTTTGGTCTATCATAAGCATCATTGTTTAAACCATTGTAAACTTTGCGATTGTACACTGGAAATAGTCTTTCATATGTCTATCATGAATAATAATTAGTTTCAGATTCAGATACATTAAATGTCATACATGTTCATGAGCTCCAAAGATAATGTCCACACCATATTTATAGAACAAATCTTCTAGTCCATATGCATTTACGATTGGAATACCTTTTCGTAACTGTAAAAAATAAATAAATAATAAATTATGTTGGTTTCATAATTTTAAAAATTTTTGTTAACTCTTACTATTGATTCGTTTTCTGTACAATCATCATCATCAGCCGTACTGCAATACATAGGTCTATGGGCCATTGTTATAATCCATGGATGTTTAGCTCTGTTTTCAGGCTTATTTGCTTCGATCAAATCTTGTTCAAGCCATTCGAATTGATTATGAATTTGACTAACACCATATTCGGTATAATAATAAAATTCTGATGAAAATCCGATTACATGTGCTGGACCGATATTGAAACTATAGAACATATTGTTCATTTTCCCACTATTTTCATCAATCATTGTGAAACGGCTATCATAATCAGTAAAATTACTAAATAACCAATGTAAAAATTATTATTAAATTCAAATTATTATCAAATATACATACTAGCCATCGTTTTCATGATTTCCAACAACTACTTGATAGGCAACATTCGCAGCAATAGGTTCGATTTCACGCATAAATAAATCACCATATAAACCATTTCCACTGTGCATATCATAAGCGATATCGCCAACATGGAATATTGCATCATATGCATTTTTCGATACCTGTTGCTTTAAACTTATCAAACACAAAATGAAATCAATTTATCAAATCTATTAAGTTAAAAGCTCACAAAGGAAATGATTGACCATTCACCAGACCCATATCACCATAGACAGCGATTCGAGGACTCCAATTTTCTTGATCTTGGGGACGAGTACGAAAATTAAATTCATTGCTCAATTCTTGTTCGAAACCACATCGGTAATCTAAAATTTCGATAAAAAAAATTTTTAATTAGATTATAAACACTAATTGAAATCGTAGGATTATTACAATATGTAGTATTTGGTTTAAGATCTTCGAGTGCAACTCGATAAATGTATCGTGAATAAGCAGTTGTAAATTTGGTCATATTGCCATGTTTTTTCAATTCATATTTTCCAGATTGTATACCATATTCTACTACTGGTGGCCCAGATGGTTGTTCATGAGTTAACCAAGTAACATACATTTGACTAGGACCAGCTAAAAAAGTAAATGAAATTTGCATCAATCATAAACATTTTTTAATTATTATATGAATTTTACCTCCATAAGAAATATGAACTTGTTCTGGTCCATGCGATAAATATTCTTGATATGCAAATGAAAGCTTGGTGAAAGCAAAACAAACGATTAAAAATTTCAATTGAAACATTTTTACATTCAATCGATTGAGTTTACAAAATCGAATAGAATGTTTGTTTTTGACATTATAAAATTTATATATCGATCCAATATCGTGGTGCTCAAGTGTTGATTATTTTTTCTTTAATCAAATGAAAATATCCATTTTCAATGATAAAAATGATTGAATTTAAAGTGAATCTCATCGTATAAAATCTGATTGCATTATGATTACAATATCGTATCGATTTCAAGTATTTAATTTTTTTTAAAATGAAACAAACACAAAAAATAATTAGTATATCATATCAATGAAAAAATTGTCATTAAAATTTTATATTATACATGTAAATCACAGATTAATAAGATGCAAAGATGCGTTGTATTTTTAAAATCATCAATACAATAGAAATGACACAATAAAATGAAATGAGATTTTTTTTTAAATGAAAGAATCAATTCATACAAGTAAAGCAAGGTTAAAGATAATGTGACAAACATAAATGGGAATGTTATGTTATTTTCATTCAGTCAACATTTTCAAGTTAAGATGTATCACATTTTTCATCAGTCTTTATTCGCAAACGTATTTCATCAACCGTATCCATTAGGTTTTTTGAATCAATCACAAGAATATATGAAGCTTCCAACATGTTTTGTTTGTAAGCACCTGTTATTGGATTTCATGAAAATTAGTATTAATGTGATGATATTATGAAAAGCATACGAACCTTCCATCGGTGTATCGGTATGCATTATAGCCTTTTTCATCGATTCCACTAAATCATTCATATTTGTGCTAAGTTTCTTTTGTGCTACAATTATATGACGGTGTTCATCTTCAGGAATAGCTTCCAAGAATATATCAACGTTTGCCAATAAATTACGAAGCTCTTGTCCGACATTCTATTAATGATGTTTTTTTTAATTAAAAAAATGAAATAAATTTCAACTTACTTTGACTAGATCAATGTATTCGGTGGTGTTTAATTCTTGTACACCTTTCAGTAGATATCGAACAGAATTGACAACGTTGATTGTACCCCAATACACGGGATCTTCTTTTCGATCAACATCTGCACTAACACAATTAACTTTTTCCATCATTTCTTTCCTAACTTTAGCATTAGTTAGTTGGTTATGTTTGAAGAATTTTCTCAATGAAACTGAAAGACCACAATCTTCAACAGTATTGTTGGTCGATGAATCTAGTGAAGATGTGGATGGATCAGAATGATCATTTTCAATAGAAGATTTTGTAGATTTATATGAATTGTATGATTCATCGCCACAGCGAGATTTGGATTGAAGATTTGGCACACTATACAAATGATGGACAGATAAACGCTGCGTAGGCGAGGATTGAATTTGATCAGCATTTCTATCACAACGTGCGTCTTCATAAATACTGGGTGTTGTTGAATTATGTTCTGATCTCGACAACGATGATCCACCATCTTTGTCGGAATAACTTTTGGAAAATGTATCTGTTTGATTCAACTGCCATTTAAACTCATGTTGTTGTAACCATTTTTGATCTTCTTGCATTTGTTTTCGTTGTACATCAAGGATTTCCTTTATCTATTTGAACATACATAATCAGAAAAAAGATAAACTTAGAAAACTTGTCGATAAACATACTCTGTTTTGATTAAGGACAGAATTTTGACTAGCACTCGAGGACAAGTTGGATTCCTTTTTGATCGCCATTTGAGCGTTGGATAAATGCATTCTTGAGAATGAAGATGAAGATGACGATGATTGGTCTTTGCCTGAAGATGCAGAATATAGACTTATTTTTGAATCCGATAAATCGTTAACAATATCAGCACGAGCAATAGCACCAATAAGACCAAGTTCGTTTTGATAGATATCATATATTTTTCTTTTGATCATGCGAAACGATGGCCGGCGATCAGGCTCATAACGCCAGCATTTCAACATTAACTCATATAATTGTTCAGGACAACGAGAGGGTTTTGATAATCGGTCTCCACATTCAATTAAACCAATTACATCCGGGTTTTTTACACCTAGAAATGGTTTTTTGCCCAACATAAATATTTCCCAAACACAAACACCAAACATCCAAACATCGGAAGCTGTTGTGAAACGCCTGAAGTTTATTGATTCTGGAGCCATCCATTTAATCTGAAAAAGAGAAAAAATTTAGCAAAAAGTTTCTAATAAAAATTATATAACAAACCGGTAGTTTGCTATTGGTAGCCATATAATAAGAAGCATCTTCAATGTAACGAGAAAGGCCAAAGTCAGCCAATTTGACACAATCAAATGAAAATACGAGAACGTTTCTTGCAGCGATATCTCGATGCACAAATTGTTTTGATTCTAAAAATGCCATAGCACTGGAAATCTGATACGAGTATTCTATTAATCGGCGATGTTCTAGTTGTGAGCCATTTTTCAGTAAAAAATTCCGCAATTCTCCATAGTCGGCCAGTTCCATGACAACAAAGACCGGTGAGGTAGAACAAACTCCAATCAATTTAATGATATTTCGATGATCTAGTTTATGCATTCTTTCGGCTTCACATAAAAGTTTTTGATCAATCATTTGAGCATCATTCATTGACAATGCAGAATTGTCATTGTTTTGAACACGAGATATTTTTATAGCCACTGCAATATTTTCTTTATCTCCTTTTTCATTGTGTTTTTGTAGTAGATACCTTTATGGACATTACCAAAATGTCCATTTCCTAATAATTCATCAATATGTAAATGTTCTCGCTTGTATTTCAAGACAAGCTTCAACAGGATTCGAATAATCTGCATCTTCCTGTGCTTCATCTTCATGTAATTCTTGTTCATCACTAATGTATCTAGTAACTGGTTCATAACGGCTAATTAGATCGAAATTAGCTTTTTTAGGCTCAATTATTGCTGATGAATTTGATCGAAGTGAATTTTTTTTAGAATTGGGCTCATCAGTATAAGCATGTGGAAATTTTCGGTTTGTGCTCTCTGAATTTTTATAAATAAATAAAAAATTTTTAAAAACCAGAAAAAAAACAAATCAATTACCAGAAATAATATTCAGCCAAATTGATTCCGGATTATTTGTGGCTAATCGATGGTATCCATCAATCAGATCGGCAATACTTTGAGCAGTTGAAAACGATGAACATGTTAAAATCAAAACATCATCTTCATTTTTGATCCGTAAGTTGAGTAGAATTTTTTTCGAACTAGTTCCAATAGAATCTTCACAATTTGATTGTTCAGCATTTTTATTCATTGTTGAATAGCTTTTGATGTTGATTTGTTCAACGAAATCAAATGATTTTACAATGACTGATGGCTATTAAAAAAACGAAAGTATTATTTGTATTGCAATTATTTTGCAACAAAGAAACTTACTGGAGAGGAATTACTAGTAAAGTAGGCAATGCCTATATTCGGTCCAATCATAAGATCAACTGGTACACACCAAATCGATTCCTGATAAAATTAGAAAATATTGATAAATCATTTTACTTTCATTAAAAGGTGATCTACTTACACCAAGTGAACAATGGAAAACTTCACGATTAAAATCAATCAAATGTATCACTTGATTCATAAAATTAAATGCCGCTTGTTCTTGATTCGATTGATAGATTTTCTTATATTTAGACTTGATTAATTTCCTTAAATGTTTGGGCTGGAAACATATGAGTTAAATTTTTTTAAATAAAATAAATATGCGTTACCTTAATTGAATTAGTGAAATGATAAAGGAAAAATACGATGAAAATCATTTTCTAGAACATCCCAATTCGAGTTTTTTTCTAGGGCTTGTGGCGTTAAATATGGGTGTGAACGGAAAATTTCATAACAACCCAATTCCAAAATAAGATCTTGATTTGTGAGAAGTTTTGTAGAGGACAATTCTAATCCAAGAAATTCTTCCAACACTTGATTGTAGAGAAATTTGAAACTTAGGAAATCGTTTCGATAAAGATCTTCTAAATTTGTTGGTATATAGCGCATACGAAGTTCTAGCTTATAACCTTTTTCAAATTGCATTTGATTTTGGTCTAAAAATTCTAGCATATTTTTGTTAGGATGTATCCATATATGATCATTAGGATTAAGACCACGACATATTAATCGAAGAGCAAATGACCATTGGCTAGCTGTATTTATTTGAGGAGAATGTCCATTCGATAGATTCAAATTGGTCGGTGAATAGATTTGACTAGTCAATATATGTTTTATCACATCGAATGCAGTATGTTCTTGGTGGATTTCAATTTCGGTGCAATTCTTAACAGGCCAATAAATTTTCACATAAGCTGGACATTCCATGCTTAGTTGATTATGATCAGCCGACGATGAATATGATGTTTTTGTGGAAAAAGAATGTTGTTGTTGTTGCTGCTGTTGCTTAAGACTCGTTAAAACACTTGTCGATGATAATGAGGAGGAAGTATTAGTGGTTGTCGGGGTAACCGTTGTCATTAATGATGGTTTCGTTAGGAACGGTGATGATGATGCCGTAGACGATATTATTGAATTAGATTTAATGGAATTAGTATTTTGACTTGAGATTGGACTTGATTGCCTTTTATAATTATGGATAATATTTTTTGAATCAAATATCGTTTGCTGAGCATTACTATTACTATTAAAATTGCGTCGATAAAAGGCACCTTTTGGTGATGATAAATTTCCTGAATCACGGCTATTAGTGAAATCAATGTTATGATTACGATTATCATTTAATCCGTTTATAATAGCTGCCGTCGAATGATTATTTACATTGTCATTATCAATGTTATTGTTATGATGTAGTGATGATGATGGAAAATAATCGGTTCCATTAGTTGAATAACCACCACCACCACCACTTGTAGCCAAATGTTGATGTGATGATATTATGGAACATGATTCATCTTTGCTTTCCGCATCCAGATTGTATTCGATAAAGTTTCCATTCCGCATTCTACAGACACAAAAAAATTATCAGATTAGAAATCGCAATAACAAAATTATTGAAAATTAAGAAACCATTATTCTGTTCACCTAAGAATATTTTGACAACAATTTGGCTTTAATATTTCGGATGTTTGTTGAAAAGGATACAAATTATCACCAATAAAACTTTGATTATTTATGTATAGAAAACTTTCCGTTACACATTCATCACCGGATCTTGAACGTAATAATGGTGATGATGATAATAAATGTGTATGACTACGTGAATGATCTCCAGGAAAACATGAATAATCTGAATGAATATGTCTGTTTGATGAACAGGTGAAACAATTCACATCTTTCAATAATGAACGTATATATGACATTTTGATGATCAACACACACACACACACACAAATTGAAATAAACTGGGACGATAGTGATGATATAAATTTATTTTTTCAATGACAATAGAAATAAATTAGACGTAATGAGTCTCTAATCTAAATGGCAGCTATTTAATAAATGATGGCAGATGTAAAAACAACAAACATCATCATCAAACAATTAATAGTGGAATAATATCATTTTGAAACAATAAAAAACAATGGTTGTCAACAAATGAAAGCAATGCTATGGCTTTTTTTTTGGTTGCCACATTATATAAATCTTACTTATGTTAAATCATAAGATTCGACAAGGAAATTGAAAATCATCGATGGATTATGATGAAATGAATGGAATTAATCAGATCATTGATCTATAAGGGAAAAAGTTGAACACATACAAACACACACACACACACACACACTTATTAAAATGAAAGGCAAACACTCAAATTAAATTAAATTTCATAAGAAAAATTAAATGGATGCAAAGGATTTCATTAGATTAAGAGTCAAAAACTAGTTCCCGTTGTTCCGGAAAAGCATAAACAATAACAACAACAACAACAACAACAAATGTCAATGGACAATAGTTAAACGCGAAACATCAACAAAACAAAAATATTATGAAACACCATATCGCAATTGAACTCAATTTTTTTTTATTTGTCTACAATGTTTCGTTGAATGATTTTTTTTATTAATAGTGGATTTTTCTCTTTAGCTTGATCAAGACAAATAAGGCAAACACACAACACACACACACACACACAAATTGACCCTGATTCTTCTGGGGTGGTAAAAGCTATTTTTTACGATCAATCGTCATAATCCTCTTCCTTTCACAAATATCTGTTATGATTGGAAAAACAAAATAAAAAATTTGATCATAAAATTGTCAACAAAAATAAATTCGAAGAAAAGCCAACTGATAATGTTTAAGATCAAGTTTTTTTTTTGTGATGATGGTGATGAGAAATGAATTTCATCAAACTGAAAACATAATCGTCAAACCTATGAATATTTATCACTATCAAATATTATTTATTTGGTTGAAATAAACTAAGTTAGTAGGTCTATTTGTGTGTGTGTGTGTGTGTGTATTACTGTTCATTTCATGTTCTTGGGTCGAATGAAAAGCGCCCAAAAGGGTGTTGGTGAATTGATGATGACGTTGGCCAATTGTCTATATATTGGTGTTTGTATGTATTCATGAGGTTATTCTAGTTTGAAATTGTTATTTCACATCATTTACAACATACAAAATTTAAATGGATGCATTGACTTGTTATACTGTTATTTGAAACATACAATGAATGTTTAGAATCTGAAGGATAACAGAACAGACAATCAATGTTATGTGTGTATAAACATTGCGGAACAAATCTAACTAACTAACAACAATCTCAACAAACAATAATGGTAGACATAATAAATCTATGTTTTTGTGTTTGTGTGTGTGTGTGTGTATAAGGATGTTTGAATATACAAACAACAACCATAGATCTACACACACACACACACACGCAATATGAGTATTTGCCTTTCACGGTATTTCCCATAGAAATAAAATAAATTTTCAATGATGAATCCACACTAAATATGCTAATCGGTAATCATCAGTTAGGCAATTCATGATTATGATTAAAATGATGATGATGATAATGGTTGGGATGGTGGCCAACCTCATTTTATTCAATAATAATAATAATAATTAAAACAAATCAAACAAACAATCCATATATACAAATATTATTCAAATCAAATAATCAAAAAATGAAATTTTTTCCTGTTTGGATGCAAACAAACAAACAAACCAAAAAAAACCCGAAAAAGATCGATCACCTCTTTATCGATCTGTGCACTAATAACTAGCGGTTTGATGATCAACAAAAAAATTTAGGGTTATTATCATAAAACTGAGAAAACAAAACAAAACAAAAAATTCGATATCAATAAAATTTTATTTACATTCAAATCATCAGAAAAACTTGAATGATGTAAAATCAACTTTGATAACCACAACCATGTTATCATCATAAAAACATCTGCAAATAAATCAAGTTAATCCCGAAATGAAGAAAAAAAATGTTTTAAATGTTTAATAAAATCATTTTTAAAGGTATATAATCATCATTAAGCAAATAAAAAAAAGATAAGATTGCCATGATATTATATTATTGCTAGCCAAATATAGACAAAATAACCATTTGGATCAAAACATTGGATTTATCAAACATTTAAATCTTTTTTTTTCTTGAATAAAAAAAAACATAAATAAAATATGATCACAGCAAATTATATACATATAATGTGATATAAATTATTCACTCAAAATGAATGATACGAGAAATTAGTGAAGAAAATTTATTTGATGTATCACTGTGAGCTACGCGGACAATATTTTTTTTCAATATTAGAATTTCATTTATTGCTGGAAAAAGAAAAATTCTGAGCTTAAGAGGCAGTGATAAACAAAAATATAAAGTAAGAGAGAGAAAGATATAATATTTTGTAGCCACTCTTTCCAAATTTGATCATTGGATGCTAAATACTGGATGACTTCTATCCTATTCGAAAAACAAAACATAAAAAAGAAGAAAAATTTAAAGCGAAATATACAATTTTTTGTGGCTGTTAGAAAAGAAATGGAGAATTCATATCTGACATTTTTCTGTCAATTTTTATATTATGGTGTTTTTTTTGGAGATTTTGCTCTGAAGAAAACAGACCTTTTCTTTGATCAACAAAAATAGATTCAACAAATTTTTCATAAACAAATGTAAAAATTTTGAGCATAAAACTCGACCAGAACTCAAATTTGAATTGAAATCAACACTACCCTTTTTTCGCAAACAAAGAACCACTAAAAATTCATAAGTAAATAGGTCTTTTCATTCATCCTAAACCCAAAAACTGTTCATTTTAATCATCAATCAATATAATATTTATCATCTGATGATCAATGAAAAAGGAGTGAATGATGTAGGCAAATGTCCGATAATAATTTTTTTTTATTTACGATAAAAATATAGAAAAAACGAGCAAAACATTTGGATAATTTTGTCATCATTAAATTAATCATTGATATAAAGATTATGGGACAAAAAAAAATTTTTTTCTCAAACATCCCATTGTGAGGAACAACCTCTAACTTTAATAATTTTCTCAGCTCAACAGTGAACAAGATTGATTAATTTTAAAACCAAAAAAAAATTGCTATTTAAAATAAATTAGAAAAGCCACAAAACATCAAATGAATATCTAAAAATATATACAATCATGGCAATCATCTATGATTCATTGCTATTTCTCCGAAAATTTCTGAACAGATGGATGCATGGTTGATGATGATGTCATTCTTGTTTGTTCAAATCATCATTGATGTTCAAAAATAGATCCAATTTAAAAAAAACTATATTGGCTATATATATGATGAAAATTGTTTGCTTTGTTTTTCCAATGTTTGTGCATTTAATCCTAACTAAACTACAAATGATTATTGACAAACCAATAAATTCAATTCACTCCCAATGTCTTCGAACTTTTAATGATTATCGATTCATTCATAAAATGTCAATCATCTTTCGTTGTGTTTCTTTTTCATTAAATTCAATCAATTAATCTATAGAAAAAATGGATATCAACTTACCTAAGCATGTAAGTGTTATCTAAACATGCTGAACGAGGTCTTGGCTTTATTAGACCTGATGAATGTGGACGAATAAATGATGTTGGCGTTGGTTCATGGATTGAATTTTCGATCCAGTGAAAATCATTACTCTTATTTTTATTGTTATTATTTGAATTGGGATTTGGATACACTTGTTGCTTTGGCTCGACAGATGATACTGGCGACAATGACGACATCTGTGGATTTTTTCGTTCATTATTTCGATTGAAATCTAAACATAATGGAGATCGACGATTCAATAATGATTCAGTCATTAGATCATTTTGACGATCAAAAAATTCGGCTTCAAAATCATCGGATTTTTTCCATTTGGATTGTTTTTCCTAAAAAATTAATCAATCATAAAAATAAGGGGTCAATTAGTAGTTTTGATTAACAGAAAAAAATTTCGGTTACTATAAATGGCTTTTTGAACAATAAATAGATGCTGTAAAAATAATTTCCTCATTGAAAAACTATAAAAAAACATCGCCTCGCCTAAATAAGTATACACCGAATATTGTGAAAAAATTTGTCATCACCAAAAAAGGAATATTTTTTTCTTGTTTCACCGTAAAACTTACCTTGGAATTGAATGAATGGAAAAATGATGATAGCCAACTTTTACGTACGGCATTATTGAATTTTGTGTGAATCGTATCCACTAAACCTAAACTATTTCTATCATTCGAACCATTGGTGGTTAATGATTTTTGTATATTGACATTCTGACTAGGTGATTTTATTTTCATATTATTATCAATGGTCACTGATTTTCGACGACGTGATGTCGGTGGACATGAACTTCGTAGATTATTTGATCGAATAAAATTCTTTGATGATGATGGCATTGCATTACTATCACGTCGTAGTAAAACTTTTGCCGAAACATCATCGTCATCATCACCATCATGATTATCGTCGTTTTCTTTGTTGACAGCCAAATGTAATGTTTCTTTTGGTTCTTGCCAAAATGATTTTAAATCATCTGGTTTTTGGAACGGTACAATACGATCCGATGGTTTATTATGTTGACGAAATCTTAATGGTCGTATCGGTTCTTTTTGTGATACAAACATTTTGTCATTTGAATCCACTTCTTGTTTGTCATATGATAATGATAATAATGATGATGATGATGATGATTCTTCGTCTTCGTCTTCTTCACGTATGATATCGATATTTTTTGTTGATAACAGATTCAAACCACTACCAACAACATACGCGGAAAATGGTGATAAACAAACATTACATCGACATTGATATCTATTATGATGTATTTGTTGCTGTGATTGCGAATATGGACAATATAATGACGACGTTGTTGATTTTGATGATGAAACAGACGATTGTTGCAATTGATTAGTTTTAGCTTCTATTTTATTCAATCTTTTTGTTATGTTGGGCGGTGTTTTTTCTACCGACATCGACACAAAACTATTAATATTATCAATCTGAAAACAGGAAATGGCTCGTCGTTGGTATGTTAGCTGATGATAAAATTGTCCGTTGGTGTTGTTGTTTGTCGTATCTGATTTATTGTCGTTAGTAGCATGATGATGATGATGATCGTCATTATATTTTAATGATAATGTAGAACAAGAGGATATTGAATTATCAAAATCGCAACGACGTTTTTTTCGAAGATATTGTATGCCTTTGTGTTCATGAGGTAAATTAACCCTGAAACTAGATGATGATGAATCAGTTAATGAATCGTTAGAACAATAATGTTGATTAATTTTTGTTGTCTCAAGAACAGGTGTTGATGATGATAACAGACGACGAAACAGTTTATTTTTAAATGGTGATAAAGTCGTTTTATTTGTAAATGATGATTTAAAATCACGAAATGATTGGCTAATTTTTTTTGAAAATCGAAAATCTCCGGATTCTTCGATATGATGATTTTCATTTACTTTAAAATTCGTTTCAACAACCGATTTTGTCATGAACAATTGATGATTCCAAATAAAATTCAAATTCTTCATTGGGAATTTGGCCAATCAATTAAATTGAAACAAGTGATGATCAAACCTAGAAACGTTTGTAAGAATAATTTTAAAAAAAAACAGTCAATCAAATAAAGGACAGTAGGTATTGTTATTCTGTTGTATAGTGGTTCAAAGTTAAAAATAATATATTTTAACTAGAATTTGACTTGAAATAAGAAACAATTAGTAAACATCTTCAGATGATAATCTGTTTTTTTTTTTCATTGCTTATTCAAAACATATTGCAGAAAAAAAAGAATGAATAGGAAATATGAAAACAAAAAAAAACCGACTACAAAGAACAACGAAACACAAAGTGACACGAATTTGTATTTTTCGTATATATAGAAAAACAAAACAAAAAAAAATGAAATAAAATGAAAAAATTTCCAATCATCTTCTTCTTTGATTTTTTTCTTTCTTTCTTTGACTTTCTTGACTCATTCTTATTTCTTTATTTTCTCTTTCTTTTTATTCTTATTCCTTTTTTTTTTTCATATACACGATATTGTTGTTCATTCAAAATGTGCATGTATGTATGTCACACCACATTTATCACATTTAATATACAACACATGAAAGACCACAATTTCATATACATTCAAACATTTACCATAGAAATATTTTTTTTTCTTTTGTATTATAGATAGAAAATGTTATAAATAAATAAAAATATCTTCATTATGAATATTGAATGAATATACAATTCTTATGTGATACTTATAATGTGCATACACAATGACGACATAGAAGGCAATCATCATCATTGTCGTTTGTCGATTATATTTTACCGGAGTGGTTGCTGTTGCTGTTGTTGTTGTTGTTGTTGTTGTTGTATGGCCAAAATTTGAATAAACATTTTTTTTTTGCTTCATCATCTTCTTCTTGAGATCAGCAAAAAAAAAATTGATCATTTCCAAAACGAAAAAAATCTTTTATATCCGATCGTGTGTGTGTGTGTGGGTGTAAATGATGCAATTTTTTTCTTATTTTTTTTACCTTCTCACTAAATAAATATGTTTTTTTTGTGTATATATTGCATCTCTAGTTAATTGAATGGAACCACCAACACAAAAGCAAAAACTCAATATTGGATAATAAAATGATGATGATGATGATGATGATGAAAAAATGAAAATAAAACAAATCAATCATTGAAGATTGATGAAAAACACAAAAACAAAGAATATCAAATTCATTCAATCGATAATTGAAATGGATATTATCAATAAATAAAACAGGCTACACATAGCAAATGCTAATAATAATCGTATCAATGACATAAAAAAAATAAATTGTTTAGATATGACAAATCACATACCAGATATATTGATTTTATGATGCATGGTCGATTCCGATAGACAAATCCTATATGATTGATTGATTGATCAACACTTGATAAGGTTTAATGCACTTGAATTTCACATATATCAATTCATTTCATTCAAGAAAACAAAAATTTTCTCGCTATTGTGATATATAGTGATGAATGGTAGCTGATTATATTCACAATCGAATTGAAGTTCAACGAAAGAAATCAACAAAAAAAATCCGAAATAGAATGACGATACTATGCATGCATGTGTATGTGTGGATGAATGGTTCAATATTCATTCACGAAATGGGAATGAAAAAAAAATTGTGATAAGAAAAAAAGAAATAACGGTAAATATCTACTTGTTGTTGGATAACATGTGGGTTTTACATTTTCTGTCATTAACCTGATGTAGTTGTTTTCGTTTTGAATTCTAAGAAACCAGTTGTTTTGTATTTTATCACATGGGAAAAAACAAATCACACTTACATCACAAGAATTTTTTTTTTTATTTATTATAAAAGAAAAAAAAAAAATGGTAAGAATAAATGGATGAAATCATTCAGGTTTCACCAACACAAATAAATCACAATGATGAATTCAATGAATTTTGAATTGATGGTGATGGTGGTGGTGGTGGTTTACCTTCGATCGATGATGATGACATAAAGATCTGAGATAAAACTTAAACTGTCACCATTCATTATTATCATTAACAAAAATCAGACATTTTTGACAAACAATTAGAATTGAAATTTTAATTTGAAATAATAATCAATTTAAATTCAGATTCAAAATGATGATTTGATTGCCGTGATATTGTTTTCAAGGCGTTTGTGAAGAAAAAAATTTTTTTTTTCAACACCACCACCGACTACAATTGATGCCGGAATGAATTCGATGATAATAATGATGGTGATGATGATGATGATGATGCCGCTTGTTGTGCGCGATTTGTGGTGGCGGTAGCATTTACCAAAATTGAGACGATTTTTTTTTCATTTCTCATTTCGAATATATACGAAGGCGTCGTAAGAAATCCTTATGAAAAATATATTAAGCCATATAATCAACAACATGAAAAAGTTGTCGCTGGATGCAATCATCAAAAACAAAAATCTTTCATTCGCGTGGCGAGGATATATATTTTTTTTTTGGCTATATCTAAATCTTAAGCACACACAAACACACACACACACACACACACTAAATAAATTGACACCAGTAACTTTCTTAAAAAACAGGAACATTGTGTTGATGATGATCAACAGGATCCTTCGAAGTTTATATGGTAAAACTTAAACTAAAAAAAAACTTGAAGAAATGAAAATAAAAGACAACGATGATTTGAATATGATGATGAGATATGATGATGCAGGCAAATGATATACACTTTGCCAAATTAGTATTTGCCAAGATAGTCTAACATCCTCATATTTCATGGTATCGAAGAAAATTCTTTAATTTTCACTGTCTTTGCATTCATCATCATCGTCGTCATCATCATCATCATCTCATTATTGCTATGTTGAATATAGATTGAAAAAAAACTGAAGCCAATTGAAAATGACAACTAATGAGAATCATCAAAAGATTTTTTTTATATTTAAAATAAAAAATCACGCATACATACCCTCTCTTGTCTTTCTTATGTTAAATGTTCCAAAAACTATCAAATCAAACTAACGATTATGATGATGACAGTTAATAATTGGAAAAGAAAAAAAAACAAGATTTAAATCTCATGATATTTTCATTTTTTTTTTACAATTTTGTATTTTCGAACGAAATCAACAGGTTTCCCAAGTCATTTGAAATGAAATGTGTCGAATCATATAAAAAAAAATTATGATGATAATGATAATGATGATGAGAATAGGCGTTGAACGGAACATTAAATTGATTGAGAAATAAACAGACAGAACAAATGTTGTGGAAAAAAAATATATTCGTCTTTTTTCGTCGTAGTAAAAAAAAGGCCTTCATATCTAGCTATAAACTTTATATTTACCAGTGTATAATAATAATTTTACAAAAACAATATAACATCAGCAGCAGCAACAAGTCGTCTTCGTTTGAAATTTTGTCCAGAGAGAGAGAGAGAAAAAAAAAGTTTCGTAGGCGATCCAATACTACTGTAACTGGCATAAATAATAATAATGGCTATGATGATAAAGTGTGTGTGTGTTATCCTTGCTTCATTCATCAACACAATCAATACATTCTTTATAAAATGATTATTATTGATGGCCATATCCTTGCTTCATTCATCAACACAATCAATACATTCTTTATAAAATGATTATTATTGATGGCCATTGATGAGAATAATGAATATGCATTGAATTATAAACGAAGAAAGAAAATTATGGTTAGAAAAAGGAAAAAAGGTAGATACTGAACCCCCATTTCTAATTTAATTGGTAAAAAAAAGGATTGAATCTCAATTCATTGTTCATCAAGAAAAAAAACGAATAAAACCAAAATGTGAATGAAACTAACTTAAATAATCCGTTTTTTCACTTACAATCGACATATAAAAAAAAAAGACAAGAAAAAAATGAACCATTTTCACGTATATATCATGTTTATCATGAAAAACAACGTGACATATATGCGCGTAGGTGTATCTGGGACACACTCTTGTTATGCTTCGGGATTTGTTGATTTTTATTTTCTAACTGAAAAAAAAATTATGAAAAATATTTATGATGGTTGATGTGGAAAAAAAAATTATACTGGGTCGTGAATGATTTAAGACATTTTTCGAGGATTGGTGTCTCCCGAATCATGATAATAATTATATTACATTGAAATTTCAATAAGAAATTTTCTTCACTTGCCATTTAATTGGTTGCCAATAAGGATTTTGTTATCATTCATTAATGGAAAATTAATTTGAATAGAAATTGAATAAATATTTGAATTCAAACCATTATAACCAAGTCTTTATTGTTCTCTACAATCACAAATATCAAAGTTATATCGATACATCGGAAATTCTTTGTTTGGCGCTAAACAATCGAATTTTGAAAATCGATTGTCATGTTCATCACTTTGCGATGCTCATTTATTTTTTTCGATTTACATTTATCATTTTTTCATTTATAATTTTAAATTTTTTATTATTATTACAATACAATCATGTCTGATCCTCAAGAAAAGTCTGATCCTTCGACAACAACTAATGAAAATCCAGAGTTGCAAAAGTTACTGAATGGAAATGTACAAATAACCTTCAATACTATTAAAAACCTTGTAAGCTTTAACACATTGTTTTGTTAGCGTGTGAATCAATTTTTTCTCATTTTTTTTTGTCAAACATAGAATTCATTCAAAGTACATAATCAAGAGGAATTCATACTTTTATTGACTATGGCGCATAATTTAACCGTTGGAATGACTAGATATAAATTGAAAAATACTCCTCAACATACTATTAAAACGTTAAACAACGGTCCTTCAAATGTTGAAAATTATAAAAATAATGATAAAAAATAATTTATAATTCCCATGAAAAAACAGTTTCTTTGTTTGATTTAAATCTGGCAAATTCCGATCGTATCATTTCATAATTTGGTTCATCAGTGAAATCAAGATTCCTTGCATAACTTTTGTACATAGATGGAATGAAATGTTATTTTTACATATTGTACATTAAAAATTGATACTTTTTTACCTGAGTAAATTGGCAAATACTTTTAAATGATTTTCAAACAATTGATCTGATGTCAATGATTGTTTCATTGAGCCAACTTTTCGACAATGTTCTAATGGATTGTTTTTGGCAAGATTGTTGCCAGAACCAAAAGACCATGGTAAATTTTTTCCATTCAAAAAATATAACAATAAATATGCCAATGATTCAATATCATCGCGTCTAGATTGTTTCAATTGAAAATGTGAATTACAGCTCATGAATAAAACCGATCCAACCATACGATCATGGCTACTAGGCGAAAAATGTTCCATTGTATGTGGATTACGATAACGTTTACATAAGCCAAAATCAATTAGATGAATAGTTCGATATTGTTTGGATTTTGGAAATCCAATCATAAAATTTTCTGGCTTTATATCTCTATGAACAAAGCTATGATTTATGAATGAATGAGTGAATGATTGGTAGATTGTTAAAAACAAAACCAATAAACCCCAGCATAAACTCACCCAATGGAATGCAATGTTTCAATTCTGGTTATAATTTGTATGGCAATTTCCAATATTGTATCCAACGTGAATCGTTGATTACACATATCGAATAATTGATTCAAATTCCTATATAATTGTTCAATAACAATGAAACTTGGGCCATGATAAAGCGATTTTTGATAGACATAAAATTGAGCAAAACCATGATAATTTTTTAGAAAACGATAAACATTATATTCATTATTAAGATGATAAGAATTTGTTTCATTAGAATTAAATTTTTCGATTTTAATGGCAATCATATGGAATACATTTTCTCGATCCTCACCCGAATAAACAAATCCAAATGATCCGGATCCTAATTTCTTATTAATTACGTAACGATCATTGAGTACAGGACTGGATATGACCGACATTTTTTTTAAATAGAACAATATACAACTAAAAAAAACGATGACAAAACTATTTCAGATTTTTTTTCATCAATAAATATTCAATATTCAAATTGCAATAATAAATTTAATAAAATTCAATTTAATTAATTTTCAATTTTTTATATAATATCGAAATTGACAACAAATCCTAATAAATTTTTTTTCTTCTTTCAATATGTTCAATGTGTTTGATTCATGTAGATTTATTATATTTCGGCGGTCTGAGATTTGATTTTGTTTGTTTATGATTGTGGATCTGTGTGTGCTTGAAATGACAACAATCCAATCAACATAAATTAATCCATTTAAATATCAATGAATGGATTATGTGTGTGTGTGTCTGTAAATGTATTCAAGGAAGGCATGTGTAAATTGTACAATCGTTTTAAAGAATAAAAATTGAAGAACAATAATTAGTTCATTTGAGAATGAATCAGACTTGGTCATAAATTGAATATGAACGCGTTTTGTGAACGAAAAAAAAATGAGATTCGTGTTTTTTTTTTTAGTTGATTGATGATGATAATGATGATGATTAATTTGAAATGAAAAAAAAATGAATGAGTTCCAAATAAAAGATTTTTAACAAAAAAAATAATAATAATAATGAAAATGGGGTAGAAACCTGTATACAAACGTTCATCATCATCATTAGTGTATGTATTGTAAGTGGATGCAAAAATTTTCAATTAAAAATGAAATTATAAAATCGAAGCTCGAAAGATTCGATTTGTTCGATGAGATTATGTGTGTTTGTGGTTAAAAAAAAAACATACATTATGTGAGAAAAATTGATCTGCAGATTCACACAAAAAAGATATTATAACAAAAAGTCTTTTCATCGCCATCATCATTTTCATATCGATGTTGATCATAACATTTGTAATAATAACAACATTTTTTATTACACGAAGAACAAATTTGTTTCATTTTTTTTCTTGTTTATATAAATAGTTTTTCTTTGCATCAATCATCGATAATAAAGGAATTCCAGTGTTAAATGTATGATTTGAACATTATCTCATTGTTTTATTGGTATTGTTGTCATTGTCATTCTTATTGAAAAAAAAAAAAAAAATGATTAAAAAATGTCAAATATTATAAATCAGACCTATGTGTACTTTTTTTTAATAGTGTAAAGGAAATTTGAATCGTTTTTTTTAAATTATGTAATTTTGTGCATATTTGTTATACATTCAAGTATCTGTGTGTGTGTGTGTGTGTGTAAATTTTTGTTCATCTAAATAAAAAAATCATAACAATAAAAGATGAGAAATGGAAATGAATTAAATTGTTTGATTGGTTCATCACTGTGAGAGATTCAAGACGATAATGATGATGAGATAACGATTTGTGTATGAAATGTGATGAGATAATCGTAAATAAGTGTGTGTGTGTGTGGGTAATTGGGTAAAGAATGGGCAAATGCAATGATCAGAAAGAGGGGCCGCATATATAAAAATAAAATATACAAGTTATAATTATTTTTTATCAATGGCGATGATGATGATGATGATATATTAATCATTTTTTAGAATAGAGCTCTTTGTGTGTGTGTGTTTGTGCATGCGATAAATGTGTGAAAATGTTTTTATCTATATATATACCTTTTTGTGTTTCCTAGAAATATATCACTTGTATATGTATAATATTATGGAGAAGTTGCATTTTCAATAATAATAATTATTATAATCAATCAATCAATCAATCAAATTTAATTTGATATGATTGGTATATTCATTGAAATGTGGGTAAACCGATGTCCAATCATGTCGAGAGTTGGTCGAGAAAAGATCCCATTCAACATTCAATTTATTTTAATTCACATTGTCGCATTGTGCACCTTTACTAAATGATTTGACCGATTTATCTAATATACATTTATGGACACCTTTTCTTGTTGTCAATGGAATAATTTTTGTTTGATGGCGATTTTTTGATTGTGGCGAGATCTCGATATGATTACGTGTTGCCATCACTTGCTGTGAAGGTGCCGATCGATGACGATTTTGATTCACCGCAGAGGTCAATGGTGCAGCTGATGTCGACGATGAAGCTGACGAAGCCAATGAAGCTGTCGACGATTGTTGTTGTGAATTGACAGATCCTCGACTAGTGTCTGTTTGTTGCTTGACAGATTTCAATATGTTCGATTGCTGTCGATTAATGATGACCCGTGATGATGGATTCTTTATATGATGATGATGATGTCCAGAAGAGGTACAACTGGTATTCGAAATTTTTTTCGTGATTGATTGGGATGAAGCTCGAGGTGGTGGCAACAAATCGATAGCAGGTGTACGATAGTTAGCAGATAGTCTTCTTTCCACGACTCCTGTCATTCTATTAGATGTACTGATGTTGCTGACATTTGATGTGATTGTCAGATTACTGCTTGCACTGCTACGATCAGATCCTCGATGAGCGGATGTTGAACATTTTATATCAGACATGGTCATGATATTTGAAGGATTTTTGTTATTAGAAATTCCATCATCATTATCATCATTCCCAACAAAAACAACAGCAGTGTTTTGGGGTGAACATTGTTGCTGACTATCTTCCTCGACCAACTCTACATCGGCACCCAGTCATAACTTAAGTTCACTGGTAATTTTCGAAGCAATATTTTTAAATCCAATTGATGTTCCCGAAATGCGTTTGAAACGAATTCCATTCAATGAAAGCCTTGGTAATTTACAGACTTCAATTTCCCATTGTACTAATGAATCAGTATATGGATCACCGTGTATACAGAGCAATAGAAATTTTTCTCTCTGTTCATAGTCACAATTGTTTTTATCGAGAACTTTACGAATTTCAGCCATGATTTCATTCGGATCACGAGAAGAAGTAGTTTTCATGCTCCAAGTAAACCTTAATGATCTAGGTTTCGTTTGATCATCGTTCATCGTTCTACTTGTTAAAGTGATACAAAAATTGATTAATGATAAATTGACAAATCTTTGACAATACCTTTTACTGAATTTAGAAGAAAGTTTACTGAAAAATGACTGACGATTCATATTTGATGTGTCTTGAGTTGCATTCAATGGCTGCACAAACGGTGGCCATCGTTCACGGGTTTGACCACTATGAAACGTACTACGATTGACAGTGCCTCTTGGAAATGCACGATTAATATTTTGGATCGGTGTTAATGCATTTTTTGATGAACTACAAATATATAATAAATATAAAATTGAGAAAAATTTAGTAAAAAATGAAAAAAAATCATATACAAGCACTCGCGCACACAATATTCAGTTAAAGAAAGTAAAAGATGAAAAACAAGGAAAAAAAAGAAACGAAAATGAAACCAAACAAAACAATTGTTGGCAAACCTTGGACGAGGTGTTGTATTCGTATCGGTCAACAATGCTGAACTGCTATCGATTGGTGATAATTCTGGAGCATAAGCACTATTACAAGACCTTCCCGAAACTGATGCCGATTTAGCATGACCTTTCGGGCGTAATTGATTAGAGGATGAGGATGAGGTTAATGTGGTAGTCGATGAACAGGATCCACCGCCACCGCCACCACCACCACTGCAAGCTGAAGCCGTACCAGATTTATCATTAGAATCTTTTGATTGTTGTTGTTTTTCTTTTGTTTGACCATTGGTTATTGATTCATTTTTTGTATTATCATTATTATACTATTTGCATTAATTAATGATGAATTATTATTATTATTCAAATTATTATTTGAACGACTTGTTACTGTCGTCGATACGATACTATTTGTCTGATTGGCATTAGCATTCGTTGAAGCATTAGAATTATTTGTACTGTTGTTCGAAGTTTTATTATTATTATTATTATTTGAAGATGAATTTGCGATGTTCAAAATACTAATATAAAAGTTTGAAAGGAATCAAAATATTTTGCATTTGTTGATCGATAATTATAGAACAATTAGAATTGAAGATCGAATGTTTTGTGATTCGAAAGAAGATTCAAAAGTTTGCGAAAAGAAGATAGTAACAGAAAGATAAAGAAAAAGAAAGAGAATGGGAACAAAAGGCATCATATCATTAGTATAATCATACAAGAATGTAGAATTGAAAATTTTGAAAGATTTTCATGTTATTTGGAAAAAATCGGATCACTAATAAGCTACTTTTGTTGTTGTTGTTGTTGTTGTTGTTTTATTTTTATGTTCATTCATCATCTATGCAACTAAGAATCATTAAATTTAAAGTTTTCTGGCAGCACAAGTTATTTATATTCATAGACAAATCAAAATGGTAAACAATTTTATTTGAAAAAGTGATAAAATTCTTTATGTGTGCGTGATTAATTAGAATGTACAAAACATCGTTATAATTTTCATTTACGACTTACTTTGAATTCTCGACGATTGTCTTCTCAATGGAAGCACTTTTCTCTGGTGGTGGTTGCGCCGAATTATTTGTTGATGAATATGGTGAACTATTATTTGAATTAGTGGTATTAGTAGTCGTGGCATACGTTGTATTCCGTCTTGGAATACCACTCAATGTGTTCTTGAGCAATGATGTTGGCAATGCGGATGGTTTTTGCCTCAGAGACCCAGTGCCCAACTGGCTTAATTTTGAAGGACTAATTACCGAGCTTGATGGAGATGAATTGTTTGTCATTGTATTATTTTTGGTGGTACTAATCGTCGTATTATTCGTGTCTGGAGCGGTTTGATTTGTCGTGGAAGATGACGAACTTCCTATGGCCGAATTGGATGAATTATTTACGGATGATTTAACTGTTTGAGTTCGATTCGAGCCACTACCGCTGCTAGGACCACCACTGTTTATGTAATTGACTGTATTTGATGTGCTAACTTGTGTTCCAGTTGGTGATTTCAATGACGATGGTGAATCATCACCATTGATGATCGCCGTGGAATTGGGGTTTTGATTGTTGGACGAATTTGAAGCATTATTCTGGATACTACCATTAGTATTGGCTGTTCCCGATCCAGATGTTGAAGGATTTGCTCCATTATTTTTGTTGAATGGATGGATCACAGTATCTTTAGCATTTGTCATCGCATGCTCTAAAACGTTGGGACGTGGTTTACTACCACTACTATACGTATTACTACCACTGGTATTACTATTCGGAATGGGAGGCACTATGGGAGTTGTAAATTGTCCGGTTCCTGCTCCGGATGTACTGGGATGATTATTGGTTTGTTGCTGTTGCTGATTATCACTACTGTGACTGAAGCGACGTGGTTTGGTCGTTGCCGATACCGATCGTTGAACCTTTACATGAGACGGTGATTGATGATGATGTGAATGATGATGATGATGCGAATGATGACTATTCGGTATCATGTATTCATTTTTCTGATGTATACCACGTAAAGAAAGACTTGAGCTCGAACGTGAATCGCAAAGTTCGTTCTGTGCAATTTTTGAAAAAAAAATGAAAATGAGAAAACAATTGGAAAAAATCCTAAACATTAAATGTACCTCAGTTGTGCGTTTTCCAAGTAATAAATAGTTGGCCATTATTTCATCATATTTTCTCAGGCGTAATGATTCTTCGATTTCATCCAATGAATAGCCCATCTGGCATAAAATATCTATCCGTCTTTGATCACTTAAATCAATTTCCGGCTCCACATAAGGCTTTAATTCATCATCTTCATAATTCATATTCATCCATTTATCTTTCATAATGGTCTAATGATTGAGATGTGAAGAGGAAAAGTGTTAATAAATAAGTCATATACATAGACATGAAAAATCGTGCAATACGAACCTCTAATGAAGCACGTTTGGCCGGATTTAATACCAAAAATTTCTTCAATAAATTCTCACAATCAGTGGTCATATAGAATGGTATTCGATATTTTCCCCTAAGTACACGATCACGCAATTCTTTTAGATTGGCGCCATCAAAAGGAAGTGAACCACTGACTAGAGTATATAAGATTACTCCCAAGCTCCAAACTTTAAAACATCAAAGACAAAATAATAAGCAGATATTCATCAAACAATGAAAAACTTACCATCAACTTCAGGACCATCATATTTTTTTCCTTGAAACAATTCTGGAGCAGCGTAAGGTGGGCTACCACAAAACGTATCCAATTTTTCTCCAGGTTGAAATTCATTGCTAAAACCAAAATCAGCAATCTTGATATTCATTTCACTATCCAGTAAAAGATTTTCGGCTTTTAAATCACGATGTATGATACGTTTTTGGTGGCAGTACTGTACGGCAGAGACAATCTGTCGAAATTTGGCTCGTGCTTCTTTTTCCTTCATTCGACCATGTGATACAAGATAATCGAATACTTCGCCTCCGCTTGCATATTCCATGACCAAATATAACGTCTTTTCCGTTTCGATTACTTGATATAATTTTACAATATTCGGATGATCAAGCATTTTCATAATGCGAACTTCACGAAATAGCTACGAAAATATGATAAAAGATATTATAACATAACACAGAGACAGACAAATAGAAAAAGAATAATATACCTTTTGAAGACTCGATTGATTCAATTGTGTTTTATCAATAATTTTAATGGCAACTTCTTTGCCCGTTGGTAAATGTTTTGCCAGTTTAACTTTGGCAAAATTACCTTTGCCGATCGTTTTAAGTAAACGATAACGGCCAATCTGTGGTTCTTCATTTCTTGATAATCTTGCATTACTACGTACATGATTCGGAATCGATACTGGTTGATAATCTTCAGTCTATGAATAAAATGAAAAAAATTCATATAATTAAATAAATTTTTCCAACAGATTTAAGTTCTCTCTCTCTCTCTCGTAAATAAAAAAATTGATTGACACCGAGACATTCGATTGGAATCAAATTTCAATGAAAAAAAATGATGATGATGAACGAACAAAAAAAACACGTGGATATAAATGAGAACATTATTTTTATCAATAATAAAATGGGTGAAAAATATACAATAATGATTAAATCATGCATATGAAATCATTTCTAATATTTGATGATTTTGATGAAAATAATATTTTTTACTAGCTTGGCTACTGTGATTAAATAATAATAATCATGAAAAAAAATTTGAATTTCATGTCATTGTCTAACCTAATAAATTCATCATCAATGTTTATTTTTTGTTGTTTTATGTGAATAATATATTTTTACCAGACTAACGCGTAAAACGTTATATTTAAAATTAAAATTTTTTTTCTTTTTGGTTTACCACTTTCGTGAGATGATAAATTAAATTTAACGAATTCAACAAAAAAAAAACAACATCAAGATAACCTCATTTACACTTTAGATCAAGTTGATTGAGAAAAAAAAAGTTAAAACCAAAAAGAAAAAAAATTTTCACACACACACACAAACAAAACACATAGGGAAAAAATCAATTTGTTCACTGATTACGTCAAAACCACAGAAAAACATTGAAATATTACATTAGATGATCGACTATCAACAAGTTATTTTGGCCCATTTCTAGAAATTTTCCCGAATAAAGATTTGTGTTCAAATATAAATGTAGGTGGTCAACTGGTTATATAACCGATAATAAATTTTAAGATTAAGCGTATAGATTTGAAAAAAATAGATTTTCAAACAAAAAAAAAATAATCAATATATGTGTGTACATGAAAATGTTTTCACAACATCTATAACAATATTTAATCTCTATTTTCACATGATGATAATGATTTTCACTTAAATCGAATTGTGAAAAAATAGATGAAAAATAAAATAAATTATTATCCTAAAATCACAACTATAAGACGCGTCTTATGCAAAAAAAATGGTGATAAAGATTTAATTAGGATATTTTTTTTTTTTTTTTTTTGTTATTGACACACAATTTCATCAGAATATCGGTCGCTGTACTTGACCGACTTTATTATATATACATTGATGATGTGTACAGATTTACTTGGAGAATTGTCTCATCAAAGCTACTAATATATTATAATATATATTGTATTTCACGCTCTCATTACGACGTGAATTAGTGTACGAATAAATAAGACAATGAAAAATAAACTAAGAAAGCTTATCATACAAGTATGTGTGTGTGTGAATCATCAAATTGATTTATTTTTCTCTGTAATTTCGATTTAATAACAATAACTTTATAAATAATAAATATTTGCTACCTGAAACATAGTCAATTGGTAATCGTAATAAAAGTTTATCATTTCCTCCCTCTCTCTCTCTCTCTGAGTGCCCAGAATCGTATTCATTTGACATTTTTTCTTTTTTAGACCCGGTAAATTTTTGAGTAGGAAATAAAAAAATGATGAAAATTTATGTTCATGGTATGTATGGCATGGCATTTATGTACGGAACTAATGATATTGAAGAATCGGCACATGAATTGAGCTAACAAACGTCTCTCCTCGTCGTCATTCACTTATATACAAACGAGATTTGGTTCGACTCATTAAAGTGCTTGCCATCCATCCAATGAATAAAAACTGAAAAAAACTCAATGTTTCTCTCGTTGTGTGTTTTCTGAGCTTGCACGGAGGCATTTCGTCGTTTGTAATGGAAACGAAGTAAAAAAAACCGAAATATTACTATAGGGAACAAACTGAATCCGAACCAAGCAGCAACAAGAAAAAAAATCATCTCTATGATGACGTCAAAGAGTGAAAGAAAAAAAATTGAATCCCAAACTCATCGAAAGTTTCACGGTGTTTCCAACGACACACACACACAGCATACAGACGAAGAATCAAGGCTTTTTCAAATGTTTAGTCGATTGTTTGTCAACGCTACATACCCGAACATATATGTATTTATGGCCGGGTTGTCATTTACTAGATTATTTTCCACTCTCTCATTTTTGTATTGCCATTCCAAGTGAAATTTGACAATAGTAAAAATTCATGAGTATCTCAATCGATATGATTGGCCGTTTGAAGAAAGAATGAAGAGAGAAAAAACAAAATCCAGAAAAATAATTCGGCACGAAACAAATTCTGATGACGATGACAAAATAAAATGCAAATTTTCAATGTATTTATCATTTTTTTTAGATAAAAAACAACATGGAACTCTAATTTATAAGGAAAAAAAAGAAACATTTTTTTAATGCCAAAAACATTCAGAGAATATTCAAAAAAAATTGATCATCATCATCATCAGCATATTTTTTCCGAGAAAAAAAATATGAAATTAACAAAAAAATGGTCATTAAATGGAAAATCCGATTTCATACAAGGAGGCAAATAGATGAAATGACAAATAATCATTAGAATAAATTAATATTCGAAACAAAATAGAATATTCCAAAATAATTTATTGTGAGAAAACATTTTTTCCTAGAAAACTGTCAAACATGTATCAAAACGATTTTTTTTTAATCACAACAAAAAAATTTAAAAATAACAAATACTACAAAATGTTATTGTCATCATAATCACAATCAATTTTTTAATCTATCAAATGAAAATTATTTAACAATAATTATCAAAGAATTAAAAGGAGGCAATGTTTTTTTTCCATTCTGTGTACAAAATAAATTCCAGATCTCTATACTGGATATAAGTCTGTCAAAATCAAGTACCAAATGATAAGCTAAATATGAAATCATTTGATTTGATTCATATTTTTATAGTTAGTTTTTTTTCTGTAGGGTGACAGGTAGCATATTATTAAAAAAAAATTAAATTTTTTTCACAAAAAAACCAATGACGTACAGAAGGAAAAAAAACTTCAGACAAGAAAAAAAAATTCTATTAACGTCAAAACGAAATGTTTGTGTCCACACATCCAGCCGTCTCATGACTCATCATTAGTTTGAATTCTTCTAGAAATAGAAAATCTTAACATCATCATCATCATCATCACCATCATGATGGCAATGATGTAATCGATGTGTTCTAATTTTAGGAACACAGTAAATATAACGGTGGCAATCATCTAATGTTGTTTTTTTTCTGGTACATTAAATTTGGACAAACACATCATTTAATAAACAGAATTGTCAAATTGGTAAAACAACTTTAACAAGTTGTATATGTTGTATAGGTTGAAAAATGAATAAAAAATGACGTGATTATGATTTAGATGAATTTTTCATGCAAAATTAATTTCAAATCGACAACCAACCTGATAACCAGATATTATATTCGGACAATGAATTTTAAATTTCGGGCAACACCAACAATCAAAACAAAAAAACATTATCAACGATAATAAAGATTTTTTTTCGAAAACAATATTTAAAAAAAATGACTAAATCTCAATTTGATATATGACACATATGTGGTAACCATCAAATCCATCATTGCTTGTGTGTGTGTGTGTGTGTGTTTATAGACATGATAAACATTGATTGCCCTCACTAATGTATAAATAGAAGACAAGGTTATCGTTCAGAAAACAAAACATAAAAAAAAACAATTTATCAGATTCAATTTATCATCATCGATGATGATAAACATAAACAGATGTATTTTGAATCAATAACAAAATACAAAATACATACATTAATGGTCGATTTTGGATGACAATAAAGGTAACCGCCGGCAAATAGATGCATTGATAATAATGGTTTTTAATTTTTTTGTTTTCTTCACATATACATCAAACAGGACAACAACAAAATGGAATCAAACAATTAAGAATAAAATCAATATAAAAAACTATTGTTTCGTTTCGAAACAATTTGTTTGAAATGATCATTCACATTTAAATGCGATGAATATTTTTTGATGACGATGAAATACAATGAACAACACAACAACAAAATATAACTGCGTTTTTTTTTCTTCACATCATCATCATCATCATCATTTGATACATATTGTATTCCTATCATCAAACATCAAACATCTCAAAATCAACTTAAAAAGAGCCATCATCACAACCACCAACACAATCACAATATTAAGGCAGCCAACGCAAAAAAAAAGATTATTGCATCAAATATAGCATATATACTATACTATACTAGATTATTATATTTGAAGAACAAATTTTAGCAGCCGAAAAAATAAACTTAAACGAAAGAACACGTTTGTATCTCCCCATATTTTCGTACATATAATCCAATATATTTATATATATGAAGTAATGTGAATAGAATTTTCAAAGAGGCTCCCCTGTGTTAATTTCGAGATGAATAGAAAAATTCAATGGTATATAATACACCTATCATCATCAGTGGGTAACAACACCGTTATTATTGTTTTTGTTGATGATGTTGATGATGATGATGATGATGATGTTGATGGAAAAAACCAAAGAACAAATTTTCATGAAAATAATATATATGAAAAAAAATATCAAAACTCAAATCAAATGAAACAAGATCATCAACAACAAATCACTGTGAATGACAGCAGAAAAAAAGATCGACATTTGAGTCAAAATTGTAAACACCGACAATGATGATGATGATATGTCGGAAATACAATATCCTTATACAATGCACATTATGTTTTTTTTTATTATTATTTACATCAAACGTTCAATGATTATCGAATCATAGGATTATGGCCAAAAAAAAACAAAGACATTTTTGGTCCAAAGGAAAATTTCATCACTAATAATTCATTGGAATCTTTCATAAGATAAATTTAGAATAAATAAACAACATACCAATAAAACATTTCGTCGTATATGCTGTATGTTTGCCGTTGTATTTATGATGAATATACAATTTGTAATCATTTTTTTGAAATCGATAAGATGAATATATGATAACAAGAAACAAATTAAAAAGTAAATGATTTCAAAAAACTTGAATCCAAAACATTAAAATAATGATGATGAATTGGACGTAAGAAAAAAAAATAATTCAAAGATTGAATATCCTCACAAACGCAAACATATAACCACTTTGTATAATTATAAATTAATTTTTTTCGATACATTTTTTGACATGATTGAATGAAATTTTATTAAAATGAATCAGAAAAAAATTCAAGTGTTTACAGCAAAAGCAGCGCATTCAATTTGCTGTATCATTTATTATATGATTTTTTTTCACATTGTAAAAGGAAAAAACGGTACGTTGATATATTGTACAACTAAGATAAAACAGAAAAAAAATTTCAAAATGACCGAATAATGGGATATACGTTCATCATTGATGATTAGATGTTTTTTCATATTAGTGAGAGGTTCATAACCACCAATACAACAACAACAACAACAACAACAGTGGATCCCAATAAAGCTAAACCACAAAAAATAGAAAAAAACTGAATGAATGAAAATAGATGTATTTGATCATCTAGTGTAGAGAAATGAAATGAAATTTCCAATGAAATAAAACTAAATGATGATGATATCGGAAATGATAATGGCCTAAACAATGTATCCATGGATGCTACAATAGTGATGGATTTGATATAATGAAAATTTAGCCAAACCCATATTATGTATTCACATCGGTTTATATACAGCCAGATATCAGCTATGTTGACTTTGTTATAAATAAACTAGCTAGTTCTAGTTGTAATTATTATTATTATAAAAAAGATATGACCAGCAATAATCATTTAAACAAAAGAATCATCACCATCATCGTCGTTCGACATTTTGTCTCTCATCAACCATCAAATGATGACGTTTATTTATTCTCCCATCACCGTTACAACCATGACAATATTATTTTTTTTTCTATTTCCTTCAATGTCACGTAAAATACTCGTCTAAGTTTTTTTTTGTAATGAAAAAAAAAACATCACGAATCATCATGATGATCTTTGGCGTTGGTTGACAAAAATATCGCTGAATGAATGAAACAAATAAAACGAAATTCGATTAAAAAGAGTAATTCAAACTTGATTAATAAACAGTATAAGTTTTTTTTTGAAACAAAGAACTTCACTTGATTTCATCATCACTATGTATATAGAAAAACAAACAATAGCCTTAATGTATAAAAATAATAATAATAATACAATTCCAAAAACGATCTTGATATTTACACAGATAATTATGAAATATTTCAAAACGTAAACTTACAATAACCATAGCTCCATTCGTATTCAATGAAACAAGACGACGCCCATTCGTACCTGGTGATGACCTTAGGACAATGCCACCAGTGATTCCGGTATCGGATTCTCGACGACGTCGTCGTGCACGATATGCAGTACGTCGGATGCGTTCCTCATCATCCGATGGTACCGTTACGAATAAAAACATTTTTTTTATTTTATTTTGACAAATTAAATGATGATTAAATTATTGGATAACGATGGATACCATATGATAATGATTAAGCAACAAAACAATTTTGACAATGACAATGAGATAAACAAGATTATCCATTCAACAAACAAACAAATAAATAAAATATAAAAAACAAAACAAAAAAATCAAACACAATTCATTTGTTTTTTAAAACAAAGAGAATGATATCACAATCATAAACATCAACAGATTAGTTAAGCCACAAACAAACACATATCCAAAGGTATCAATTATCAATATGTTTGATGAATTTATTTCACTATTATTGTAGTCAAAAGTAATCAAAAGGTATTTTATGGAAAAAAATGAATAGTAGTCATTCATGTTAATGCACATTATCTATAAAAAATAATGATTATAATTATGATGAAAGTAAAATTTCAAAATCAATCGAAAATAAAGAAAATTTGAAAACGAAATTGGTTGGAATTTCTATGTTTTGGTGATTTTTGAGGATAAATAGGTTTTTTTTGTCGGCAGGTTGATGTTGGTAATCATTGCGTAAATTTAAAATAAACTACAGTTTTTCAATTTCATTTTATTGAAAAATTTTATAATCATAAAAATATAAAAATAAATGAAAAATCGGTGAACAGGTCAACCAACACATCAAACACACACACACACACAATAACTATAGCACCAAAAGCACCAAAAAAAAATTTTTGTCATATAGTTACACAATGGTGTCCGGGACAATAGAACAGAAAAGTAAATATAAGAAATATGGAAATTAATACAAGACTGGTTTCACAAATTCACAATACGGTGAGAAGAAAAAAAATCAATGTTTTCAAAATAGATGAGACCAAATAAAATTCTAGTTCAAACCACCGTTAACAATGTAATGAATGCGTCGTATAAGAATGATGAAGCTTTTTGTATCATGCACTACTACTAGATGGTCCATTTTTACATTATGTCCAAGATGTTTTTTTTTCTTTTCAAAATATTTAATATTATATATAGTAGATCATTCTTTTACAATTGGTTAATGAATTCCTAAACACGAAAAAAAAATCATCATTGACAATGAATGAAAATGTATTACAATACCACCATAAACATATTACACTTGTACGATACGCCATCATTCAAGTGATCAGATAGTGAAACAAAAAAAAACGACATTGACAAGTCAAACCTAATCAAACCAATTGAATGAATTTCGACTATTCATGTGTGCGTAGAACATTAAACGAATGAAACGTGCAGTGAAATAAACTGAAATTTTTTTTATCATCCACAAATTTTGGGTAAATGGGTACCACCACATTATAAATATGACGGTTTAAAATTAGTTATCACATTAGCAATCAAGGTTTCAACAAAAAAAACATCAGTTTTTTTTATCCATAGTGAGAAAAAACTGAATGAATTATTCTACTTCTTTTATTTTGATCATATCACATTTCATATTTATCTTTACTTTTTTTCTCGCACATTTTACGCACAAAAGTATTCTTTCATAGTCAGATGTTCACATATCATAGCAAAAACTGTATGAAATTTTTTTCACATTGTAAAAGGAAAAAACGGTACGTTGATATATTGTACAACTAAGATAAAACAGAAAAAAATTTCAAAAATGACCGAATAATGGGATATACGTTCATCATTGATGATTAGATGTTTTTTCATATTAGTGAGAGGTTCATAACCACCAATACAACAACAACAACAACAGTGGATCCCAATAAAGCTAAACCACAAAAAATAGAAAAAAACTGAATGAATGAAAATAGATGTATTTGATCATCTAGTGTAGAGAAATGAAATGAAATTTCCAATGAAATAAAACTAAATGATGATGATATCGGAAATGATAATGGCCTAAACAATGTATCCATGGATGCTACAATAGTGATGGATTTGATATAATGAAAATTTAGCCAAACCCATATTATGTATTCACATCGGTTTATATACAGCCAGATATCAGCTATGTTGACTTTGTTATAAATAAACTAGCTAGTTCTAGTTGTAATTATTGTTATTATAAAAAGATATGACCAGCAATAATCATTTAAACAAAAGAATCATCACCATCATCGTCGTTCGACATTTTGTCTCCATCAACCATCAAATGATGACGTTTATTTATTCTCCCATCACCGTTACAACCATGACAATATTATTTTTTTCTATTTCCTTCAATGTCACGTAAAAATACTCGTTCCAAGTTTTTTTGTAATGAAAAAACATCACGAATCATCATGATGATCTTTAAGTGCGTTGGTTGACAAAAATATCGCTGAATGAATGAAACAAATAAAACGAAATTCGATTAAAAAGAGTAATTCAAACTTGATTAATAAACAGTATAAGTTTTTTTTTGAAACAAAGAACTTCACTTGATTTCATCATCACTATGTATATAGAAAAACAAACAATAGCCTTAAATGTATAATAATAATACAATTCCAAAAACGATCTTGATATTTACACAGATAATTATGAAATATTTCAAAACGTAAACTTACAATAACCATAGCTCCATTCGTATTCAATGAAACAAGACGACGCCCATTCGTACCTGGTGATGACCTTAGGACAATGCCACCAGTGATTCCGGTATCGGATTCTCGACGACGTCGTCGTGCACGATATGCAGTACGTCGGATGCGTTCCTCATCATCCGATGGTACCGTTACGAATAAAAACATTTTTTTATTTTATTTTGACAAATTAAATGATGATTAAATTATTGGATAACGATGGATACCATATGATAATGATTAAGCAACAAAACAATTTTGACAATGACAATGAGATAAACAAGATTATCCATTCAACAAACAAACAAATAAATAAAATATAAAACAAAACAAAAATCAAACACAATTCATTTGTTTTTAAAACAAAGAGAATGATATCACAATCATAAAACATCAACAGATTAGTTAAGCCACAAACAAACACATATCCAAAGGTATCAATTATCAATATGTTTGATGAATTTATTTCACTATTATTGTAGTCAAAAGTAATCAAAAGGTATTTTATGAAAAAAAATGAATAGTAGTCATTCATGTTAATGCACATTATCTATAAAAAATAATGATTATAATTATGATGAAAGTAAAATTTCAAAATCAATCGAAAATAAAGAAAATTTGAAAACGAAATTGGTTGGAATTTCTATGTTTTGGTGATTTTTGAGGATAAATAGGTTTTTTTGGTTTCGGCAGGTTGATGTTGGTAATCATTGCGTAAATTTAAAATAAACTACAGTTTTTCAATTTCATTTTATTGAAAAATTTTATAATCATAAAATATAAAAAATAAATGAAAAATCGGTGAACAGGTCAACCAACACATCAAACACACACACACACACAATAACAACATAAAGCAAAAGCACCAAAAAGCTTTTTTTGTCATATAGTTACACAATGGTGTCCGGGACAATAGAACAGAAAAGTAAATATAAGAAATATGGAAATTAATACAAGACTGGTTTCACAAATTCACAATACGGTGAGAAGAAAAAATCAATGTTTTCAAAATAGATGAGACCAAATAAAATTCTAGTTCAAACCACCGTTAACAATGTAATGAATGCGTCGTATAAGAATGATGAAGCTTTTGTATCATGCACTACTACTAGATGGTCCATTTTTACATTATGTCCAAGATGTTTTTTCTTTTCAAAATATTTAATTATATATATAGTAGATCATTCTTTTGCTACAATTGGTTAATGAATTCCTAAACACGAAAAAAAATTATCATTGACAATGAATGAAAATGTATTACAATACCACCATAAACATATTACACTTGTACGATACGCCATCATTCAAGTGATCAGATAGTGAAACAAAAAGCGACATTGACAAGTCAAACCTAATCAAACCAATTGAATGAATTTCGACTATTCATGTGCGCAGTAGAACATTAAACGAATGAAACGCAGTGAAATAAACTGAAATTTTTTTATCATCCACAAATTTTGGGTAAATGGGTACCACCACATTATAAATATGACGGTTTAAAATTAGTTATCACATTAGCAATCAAGGTTTCAACAATAAAAACATCAGTTTTTTTTATCCATAGTGAGAAAAACTGAATGAATTATTCTACTTCTTTTATTTTGATCATATCACATTTCATATTTATCTTTACTTTTTTTCTCGCACATTTTACGCACAAAAGTATTCTTTCATAGTCAGATGTTCACATATCATAGCAAAAACTGTATAGAAGAATTTTTAGTAATAGCAAGCAAGAATGATTATGTTTAATCAGAACGAACATATATAAATACTAAGAAAACGTATTGTTTGAACTAATCAAATAACGAATATTCTAGAATGCACGGCCGTTACACCTCCCCTCAAGATCGGTGCTGCCGGTCTTCCACGATTACGTATCGTATCCAGAGGAGTAGCAGAATCGCCATTAAACCTTTTAAGATGATTATGATGAATCCATCTGCTATTCCCGTTTTTATCAGCGATCTCATAATTCGTAACCGACCTATTCTTGATGACAAAAGCGACCACGCCATTTTTTATTCAATTTTTTAGAAGAACCAACCGAATGATCCCATTGATGCCAAAGAACCAAATCTCCAGAAAATAAAGGTTCTAGCTTAATTTTGCGATCATAATAACATTTTTGTTTCATTTGAGCCGCTTCATTTTCCAAAAATCCTTTCCTAGCCAAATCAGAAACGTCCTCAAACTTATGACAAATATTATACTTTAAATCCAAAGGAATGGACATATCATGCCCAAACATAAGTTTGAATGGCGCAATTTTTGTAGAGTGATGAATTGAACCATTATAAGCAGAAACCAAAGAAGGTAGCTCCATATCCCAATTTTTCTTGTCCAAGACAGATGTTCTCAACATATCCTCAACTGTTCTGATGGCGCGTTCAACTAAACCATTCGATTGATGATGCCCCAAAAGAAATTAATTCAATGTTGACATTATTAGCAGAACAAAATTCTTTAA